AATTGTTTTCTTGGTGACTATGGTCCCAGCTGCCTTGAGATCATTGACAAGATCCTCCCGTGTAGTTCTGGGCTGATTCCTCACCGTTCTCATGATCATTGCAACTCCACGAGGTGAGATTTTGCATGGAGCCCCAGGCCGAGGGAGATTGACAGTTCTTTTGTGTTTCTTCCATTTGCGAATAATCGCACCAACTGTTGTCACCTTCTCACCAAGCTGCTTGGCAATGGTCTTGAAGCCCATTCCAGTCTTGTGTAGGTCTACAATCTTGTCCCTGACATCCTTTGAGAGCTCTTTGGTTTTGGCCATGGTGGAGAGTTTGGAATCTGATTGATTGCTTCTGTGGACAGGTGTCTTTTATACAGGTAACAAGCTGAGATTAAGAGCACTCCCTTTAAGAGTGTGCTCCTAATCTCAGCTCTTTACCTGTACAAAAGACACCTGGGAGCCAGAAATCTTTCTGAGAGCGGGTCAAATACTTATTTCCCTTGTTAAAATGCAAATCAATTTATAACATTTTTGACATGCGTTTTTCTGGATTTTGTTGTTGTTATTCTGTCTCTCACTGTTCAAATAAACCTACCATTAAAATTATAGACTGATCATTTCTTTGTCAGTGGGCAAACGTACAATATCAGCAGGGGATCAAATACTTTTTTCCCTCGCTGTACTCACACTCACCACCCACCCCTCTCAGACACACACACGTGCTCACACCCACCCACCCCAGACACACACACACGTGCTCACACCCACCCACCCCAGACACACACGGGTACTCGTACTCCCCACCCACCCCTCTCAGACACACATACGTACTCTCACCCACCACCCACCCCTCCCGGACACACACACGTACTCACACCCACCCACCCCAGACACACACACGTACTCACACCCACCCACCCCAGACACACACACGTACTCACACCCACCCACTCCAAGTCACACACACACGTACTCACACCCACCCACCCCAGACACACACACGTACTCACACCCACCCACTCCAAGTCACACAAAGATCCCCCATATAGCCTGTAACAGACTGTAGGGGCAAGTGCTGTTAGCGAGCACCTATGAAGGCCGGAACGGTACACGAGGGGGTGGGTGGCCAGCACCACGCCCGACCGCCTTTGTCTCCCTAGTGGCAATGTTTACACATCGCACCAGGTACTCATTTAAGGCTGAGTCGACCTAGGGGAGGCCCGGGACCGGTTCAGATAATCGTCACTGGTGTTGGCCGTGAGCGGGAATCGAACCCGGGTCGCCAGGTTCATAGCGCAGCGTAGCGCTAACCGCTACACTATCGCTCCCCCCAGACACACACACGTACTCGCACCCACCCACCCCAGACACACACCCACCCCAGACACACACACGTACTCACACCCACCCACCCCAGACACACACACGTACTCACACCCACCCACTCCAAGTCACACACACACATGTACTTACCCACCCACCCACCCCAGACATACACGCGTACTCACACCCACCCACCCACCCCAGACACACACACGTACTCACACCCACCCACCCACCCCAGACACACACACGTACTCACACCCACCCACCCCAGACACACACACACGCGTACTCACACCCACCACCCACCCACTCCCCCGTGTGTCTGCTGGCTGGGCCTTTGTGCGCTGGCAGCCCTTAGCCGCCTCCCACAGCAACCCGAGCAACCCAATCCCGCGGTAGCGCCCAGACGCTTGCTGCAGGACTTTGTCAATGCTCCAAGCACCCCGCGCGTGCGTGCGTGCGCGTGTCAGTGCCTGTCGGCGCGTGTCAATGCAACGCGCACGGAGGCTTTCGCGACGAATAATATCGGTCGCGAAGGTTTTTGGGTTAGGCCGCGTAACATGTAAATGTTGCCGTTAAGCCGTCACCACCACCACCCGACACAGCCAGTTTTAGTAAGGTTCGTCACGTGAATAAGTGCGTGTTGGTGCTTGTGTGTGGGGGGGGGAGTGGTAACGGTTGGCACGCTGCGCTATGAACCCCGGCGACCGGAGTTCAATACCCGCTCGCCGCCGCCACCACCACCAGCGGCGATTATGTGAACCGGTCCTGGGCCTCCTCCCCTAGGTCAACTCAAATGAGTAAGCGGATACGGTGTGTAGTGAACATCGCCGCTAGGGGAGACGAAGGCGGCCGGGCGTGGTGCTGGCCGCCCACCCCCTCGTGTGCCGTGCCAGCCTTGATAGTGTGTTAATGCTATACGGGAGATCTTTGTCTTTGGTACAGGCTCGCAGAATGAGCTTGGCTCAACTCGAATGTTGTTTTGGGCATCAGTGGAAAGGCCCCGTACCCGTGGCAGGGGGCGGGTATTGTCATTGTACAACGGCGTGGGCGCCTACTCCTCTCGGTTGAACTTGAGGAATTTTATTTTGCCCATCTCCGGTTTGAGCGAAAATAAAACGAAAAACTATTTCACCAGTTAAGGGCCCCACCTGAGCTGTGTAGCTCTCTAAACAGAAGCCTTGACCTGGCCATCACGTGATAGCAGCTCAACGAAGTGGCTTATCATCATCGTCATCACCGTCACGTGGAAAATTATAGCAGGAGCCAAATACTCTAAACGCATAGACCCATGCAGAGACACACATGCAGAGACACGCACAGAGACACGCACACAGAGACACGCACACAGAGACACGCACACAGAGACACGCACACAGAGACACACAGGGACGCACGCACACAGAGACACGCACACAGGGACGCACGCACACAGACACACACAGAGACGCACGCACACAGAGACACACACACACAGAGACACACACAGAGACACACACACAGAGACACACGCACACAGAGACACACACAGAGACACACACGCACACAGGGACACACACACAGAGACACACACAGGGACACACAAACAGGGACACACACACAGAGACACACACACAGAGACACACACACACACAGAGACACACACACAGAGACACACACACACAGGGACACACACACAGAGACACACACACAGGGACACACACACAGAGACACACACACACAGAGACACACACACAGAGACACACACACACAGATACACACACAGAGACACACACACAGAGACACACACACAGAGACACACACAGAGAGACACACACACAGACACACACACAGACACACACAGACACACACACAGACACACACACAGACACAGACAGACAGACACAGCCACAGAGACGCACACAGGTAGAGTTAACATCTCCGAATGTAGGAATGTTGAACTTCTTTCGTACCATACGTAGCCAACCGCGTTAATCGGAGGTTCGAGTGGCAGGGCAACAAACTAAACACAACCCTAAAGAAATAGATTGTCAATCTAGATGATGATGTGAAAGTGTAACAGCTCCCAGTGGCTTCCTAATATCGAAAGGAAGAGCATTCCAGACGGCCGCAGAAGCTCGTCTAAAAGCGCTGCACGATACATTGTGTGAGTCTGTGGGTCTCTGTGTGATGGGTCTCTGTGTGGTGAGTCTATGGGTCTCTGTGTGATGAGTCTATGGGTCTGTGTGGTGATCACGATATAATTTTCTCCGATACCAAGGTTCTTTGCAAACCCACGGGTTTTTATCAGAGATTTGTTCATGAAGCAATTCAGATCTACAGACACAATTTCAACCGAGAAGATGGTTTCAAATTAAGCAACCATTGGAAAGATGTTCTAAATCGAACTAAACATTAAACTAATTTCAATGGTACAGTATATTTTTTCAAGTAGTGGTACCTCAAACTTTCGCAGCTCTTATAAATTCCCTTTTCACACCATCAATAGGTAAACTCCCCCTCCCCCCGCGCCAAACGGCAAGTCCACCGGCACGTACACCACCTCTTTTCCAAAAAACCGCCAATCAAATGCTAATTTTTATGCTAATTTCTTTGTCAGGACACCTTGTTTGCTCGCACACAGTTTAAAGTTCCGCGGTCTGAGTGTGGTTGTTTCGCTAAATTCTCCTGTTTGATTTGTACTAGGTGCCTCGGTGAATGTATATGCTCTGACTTTAACATAGCTATTTCTGTGACCAGTTACAAGCTAATCACTCAGCTATTTCAATGCTAAATTCTATGCTAATTCCTTTGTCAAGGGGTGCCTCTGCGGATGTGTATACTTTAACTTAGCTATTTCAATGAGCCATTTCAATGCTAAATTATATGCTAATTCCTTTGTCAAGGCGCTTTGTTTTCTTCTCACACAGCTTAAAGGTCGTGATCTAAGCGTGGCCTTTTCTCACTTCAGCGCTGTCCTCCAGACAGTCTCGTCCCTTCACCTGATGAAGGCCGCTTGTGTTGTGGCCGAAACGTCGTGATTTTTTGTTATTTTATTTTCACCTACGTGACTTTACCCAATAGAACCAAAGAGTATGGATCCTAGCAGTCACGAAAGCTTTAAATCTAGAATTCTGTGTGGTGAGTCTATGGGTCTGTGTGGTGAGTCTATGGGTCTCTGTGTGGTGAGTCTATGGGTCTCTGTGTGATGAGTCTATGGGTCTGTGTGGTGAGTCTATGGGTCTCTGTGTGTATGTTCAACTTCTTCTGCACCTTACGTAGCCAACCAAAGTGTAGCCTATCGAATTAAAATACATTTTTTTTAAAACTCGCGCTGCATTGAAGAGTGATATTAAGTCATGATGGTGTGTGTGGTGTGCTGTGTGGTGTGGTGTGTGTGCGCTGTGTGTGGGTGGTGTGTGTGCGCTGTGTGTGGGTGGTGTGTGTGCGCTGTGTGGGTGGTGTGTGTGTGTGTTGTGTGTGTGGGTGGTGTGTGTGGTGTGTGTGTTGTGTGTGTGTTGTGTGTGTGGTGTGTGTCTGTGGTGTGTGTCTGTGGTGTCTGTGGTGTGTGTGTGGTGTGGGTGTGGTGTGTGTGTGTGTCTGTGGTGTGTGTGTGGTGTGTGTGGTGTGTGGTGTGTGTGTGGTGTGTGTGTGGTGTGTGCGTGCCTCCCCCCCTCCCCACCCCCGCCTTGGGTTGCCGTCTGCAGACCCCATGCCGGAGTTCCCGGCCGCCAGCCCCCCCAGTTTCCCGAGCATCATGGGCGGCCTGCGCCTGACGCAGAGCCCCCGCGCCCGCAAGACCCGCTCGGAGCAGCAGGTGCCACTCGGGGAAGAAGCCGGTGAGTGGTGCCAGCGGCCTGCCAGTGAGTGGTGCCAGCGCCCTGCCAGTGAGTGGTGCCAGCGCCCTGCCAGTGAGTGGTGCCAGCGCCCTGCCAGTGAGTGGTGCCAGCGCCCTGCCAGCGCCCTGCCGTGCCCCTGCCAACGCCTGAAGCTGCTTCCGCGTTTGCGGTAGAAGGTTTCTGGGCACCGTGTTCTATGTTCCCCCCCCCTCCTTCCGGAAGTTGGTGATGTTGACTACCTCGCCTGGTACGCAGGACGTCGTGGGTTCGATCCCGACCCTGACAATGCCTGCTGCTGTATATTTGGAGTTTGCGTGTCTCTCTTGTCATCATCACGGTGGCTATGAGATGTTGACTACCTCGCCTGGTACGCAGGACGTCGTGGGTTCGATCCCGACCCTGACGATGCCTGCTGCTGTATATTTGGAGTTTGCGTGTCTCTCTTGTCATCATCACGGTGGCTATGAGATGTTGACTACCTTGCCTGGTCTGCAGGAGGTCGTGGGTTCCATCCCGACCCTGACGATGCCTGCTGCTGTAGATTTGGAGTTTGCGTGTCTCTCTTGTCATCATCACGGTGGCTATGAGATGTTGACTACCTCGCCTGGTCTACAGGAGGTCTGTGTCTCTCTCTCATCATCATCATCATCACGGTGGCTATGAGATGTTAACTCCCTCGCCTGGTCTACAGGAGGTCGTGGGTTCGATCCCGACCCCGACGATGCCTGCTGCTGCTGCTGTATATTTGGAGTTTGCGTCTCTCTGTCACCCCGTGGTTTTGTGGGATTTTTCTCCTGGTCCTCCGGGTTTTCCCCTCCGCATTTGGAATCATCATCACCACACGTTCAGAGTATTTGGCTGCTCTACATTTGCACGATGCTGATGATTACGACAATCCACTTCACTGAGCCACTCTAGCTCAGTGGCCCTTACCGGGTAAAATGAAAATAGCTTTAGTTTAGACTGTTTGGGCAAGGAGGTGGTGTGGCCTTTGTCTCCCTAGCGGAGAAGTTTATACGAAACACATCCTCCCGTTTGGTTCTTTCAAATGAGGATATCGTAACATATCCTAAATTTGAGGCTAAGTCGACCTCGGGGAGGTCCGGGACCAGTGCAGAGAGAAGTGTCGCTACCGGTGTTGGCCGTGAGCGGGAATCGAACTCTGTTCACTCGGCTCGTAGCTTTGCTGGCTAACCACTGCATTACCGCTGCCCACACTCTAAACTACTAAAAACTATTTTTTATTTCACCAGGTAAGCCACACTGAGCTTAGTAGCTTTTTTTTTTCCGAGCTACCTGGCCATCACAAATGTTCGAAATTCGGATGCGCTTTTGCGGCTGTCTGGAACGCTCTTCCTTCAGATATTAGAAAACCATTGGGAGCTGTGCACTTTTAAATCATCTAGATTGACAAACTAATTTCTTTATAACCGCTTTGTTTAGTCTGTTGTCCTTCCCGCCCCGCCCCCCCCCGCACCTCCGATTAGCGCGGTTGGCTACGTACGGTGCGATAGAAATTCAAAGTACACACACACACAAGCGCGTACATCGTGACAGCTGTCTGTCGTTCAACGTTTGCCGCAGGCTCTCACGTCATGTCAAGCTGCCCGGCCCCTGATCCGCAACAACAACAACAACAGCAGCAGCAGCAACAGCAGCAACAGCAGCAGCAACAGCAACAGCAACAGCCGACGCAGACCGGCACCCCGGGGCCCACGGTCGAGCCCCTCGACTGCGGCGCCGACACCGGAGCCGGCCCAAACGGCGGCGTGGACGGCCCCGGCGGCCCCGGCGGGGGAGGCGCGGGAGTGGTGGGCGGGGGCGGCGGCGGCGGCGGCGGCGGCGCGGTGGGCGGAGTGGTGGGCGGAGTGGTGGGCGGGGGCGGCGGCGGCGGCGGCGGCGGCGGCGTGCTGGTGACCAAGGACGGCGGGGGAGCGGCGGCCTGTGAGCTGCTGCCGCGCCGCTCGTCGCACGTCAAGGAGAAGCGCTACAAGTGCGCCGACTGCGGCAAGCTCTTCCGCCAGTCCACCGACCTGTTCCGCCACCAGTCGCTGCACACGGGCGAGCGGCCCTTCCAGTGCGACCAGTGCGGCAAGAGCTTCGCGCTCACGCGGGACCTGGCGCGCCACCAGCGCACGCACACGGACGAGCGCCCCTACGTCTGCGAGCAGTGCGGCAAGAACTTCCGCCTGCCCGAGGATGTGCTCAAGGTGAGGGGGAGCGGGGGGGGTGGGTGGGTGGGTGTCACGGGGATATCACGGTGGTGACTTGAAATCAGGTTGGTGGTGGTGGTGGTGGTGATTGAGATCGAGGGTGGTGGTGGTGAGATTATAGTGGTCGTGGTGGTAACTTAAATGAGGGTGGTGGTGGTGGTGATTGAGATCGGGGGTGGTGGTGGTGAGATTAGAGTGGTCGTGGCGGTAACTTAAATCAGGGTGGTGGTGGTGATTGAGATCGGGGGTGGTGGTGGTGAGATTAGAGTGGTCGTGGTGGTAACTTAAATGAGGGTGGTGGTGGTGATTGAGATCGGGGGTGGTGGTGGTGAGATTATAGTGGTCGTGGTGGTAACTTAAATGAGGGTGGTGGTGGTGATTGAGATCGGGGGTGGTGGTGAGATTATGGTGGTCGTGGTGGTAACTTAAATGAGGGTGGTGGTAGTGATTGAGATCGGGGGTGGTGGTGAGATTAGAGTGGCCGTGGTGGTAACTTAAATGAGGGTGGTGGTGGTGATTGAGATCGGGGGTGGTGGTGGTGAGATTAGAGTGGTCGTGGTGGTAACTTAAATGAGGGTGGTGGTGGTGATTGAGATCGGGGGTGGTGGTGGTGAGATTAGAGTGGTCGTGGTGGTAACTTAAATGAGGGTGGTGGTGGTGATTGAGATCGGTGGTGGTGAGATTAGAGTGGTCGTAGTGCTAACTTAAATCAGGGTGGTGACTTGAAATCAGGGTGGTGATGGTGATTGAGATTGGGGGTGGTGGTGGTGAGATTTTAGTGGTCGTGGTGGTAACTTATATCAGGGTGGTGACTTGAAATCAGGGTGGTGGTGGTGAGATTAGAGTGGTCGTGGTGGTAACTTAAATCAGGGTGGTGGTAGTGATTGAGATCAGGGGTCGTGGTGGTAACTGAAATCAGGGTGGTGGCTGCGAAATTAGGGTGGTGGTGGTGGTGACCGGAATGAGGTTGGTGGTGATCACTCGGATAATGACAATAAATAATTCGGTGCTTTTCGCACGGCACTATTGCCGTTCTTCACGCTGCAGAGCTATTGGCACGTAGAAAGGCATTATCGAGACGCCCCAGTAGTGGGCCACGCTGCTGCCGTGTAACGTGTTCACCTTTGTAAACGAAAAACAATTTATATTTTACCGGGTTAGGCTGCGTGGCTCTCTTTTCAGAAGCGAACCCTGGCCATCGCAAAAGATAGCCCAATGAAGTGGCTTATCATCACGTGGAAATGTATAGCAGCCAAATACTCGAAATACATGTTTGTTAAATGTGGAGAGAAAAAACGGAGAGAAATCTACGGGACCACGGGGGGGGGAGAGAGAGAGACATGCAAACTCTAAATATTCTGCAGGCGTCAGTCGGGATCAAACCCAAGACCTCCTGTATACCAAGCGCGGTAGTTCACGTCGCCTAGCCACCCTGATGATGAGAGAGAGAGTATTTAAAATTCCTTGTGTTCTTTTAGTCTCTTGCTTATTATTCATGCTGTCTACCCAACATACTCCCAAATGCAACTGTCGGCAGTGGCAGAACACGCGTGCCAACAGGGACACTCAATTGATTTTTACAATGTTGAAGTTCTGTGCAAAACGAGTTACTGCTGGCCAAGACTAATTAGAGAATATCGAAATTGAGAGAGACAAATTATCTTCACCGTTCGGATAGCTACAGACTTAGTGCTGCTTGGAAGCGAATCATCAAATAACACATTGTTTAAATGCATGCCTATACAGGTCACCATATATCAGTGGGGATTACCTGTGAGCAGACAATGAAGCAGTTAGTGCTTGGTGTAGCGGTAGTGAGTGATTGGGTTAGGGGTTGGTGTAGTGGTAGTGAGTGATTGGGTTAGGGCTTGGTGTAGCGGTAGTGAGTGATTGGGTTAGTGCTTGGTGTAGCGGTAGTGAGTGATTGGGTTAGGGCTTGGTGTAGCGGTAGTGAGTGATTGGGTTAGTGCTTGGTGTAGCGGTAGTGATAGGGGTAGTGATTGGGTTAGTGCTTGGTGTAGCGGTAGTGAGTGATTGGGTTAGGGCTTGGTGTAGCGGTAGTGAGTGATTGGGTTAGTGCTTGGTGTAGCGGTAGTGATAGGGGTAGTGATTGGGTTAGTGCTTGGTGTAGTGGTAGTGAGTGATTGGGGTAGTGCTTGGTGTAGCAGTAGTGAGTGATTGGGTTAGTGCTTGGTGTAGCGGTAGTGAGTGATTGGGTTAGGGCTTGGTGTAGCGGTAGTGAGTGATTGGGTTAGTGCTTGGTGTAGCGGTAGTGAGTGATTGGGGTAGTGCTTGGTGTAGCGGTAGTGAGTGATTGGGTTAGTGCTTGGTGTAGCGGTAGTGAGTGATTGGGTTAGGGCTTGGTGTAGCGGTAGTGAGTGATTGGGTTAGGGGTTGGTGTAGGGGTAGTGAGTGATTGGGTTAGTGCTTGGTGTAGCGGTAGTGAGTGATTGGGTTAGGGCTTGGTGTAGCGGTAGTGGGTGATTGGGTTAGTGCTTAGTGTAGCGGTAGTGAGTGATTGGGTTAGTGCTTGGTGTAGCGGTAGTGAGTGATTGGGTTAGGGGTTGGTGTAGCGGTAGTGATAGGGGTAGTGATTGGGTTAGTGCTTGGTGTAGCGGTAGTGAGTGATTTGGTTAGTGCTTGGTGTAGCGGTAGTGAGTGATTGGGTTAGGGGTTGGTGTAGCGGTAGTGAGTGATTGGGTTAGGGCTTGGTGTAGCGGTAGTGAGTGATTGGGTTAGGGGTTGGTGTAGGGGTAGTGAGTGATTGGGTTAGTGCTTGGTGTAGCGGTAGTGATTGGGTTAGTGCTTGGTGTAGCGGTAGTGAGTGATTGGGTTAGTGCTTGGTGTAGCGGTAGTGAGTGATTGGGTTAGTGCTTGGTGTAGCGGTAGTGATTTGGTTAGTGCTTGGTGTAGCGGTAGTGATTGGGTTAGTGCTTGGTGTAGCAGTAGTGATTGGGTTAGTGATTAGGTTAGTGCTTGGTGTAGCGGTAGTGAGTGGTTGGGTTAGTGCTTGGTGTAGCGGTAGTGAGTGATTGGGTTAGGGGTTGGTGTAGCGGTAGTAATAGGGGTGGTGATTGGGTTAGTGCTTGGTGTAGCGGTAGTGATAGGGGTAGTGATTGGGTTAGTGCTTGGTGTAGCGGTAGTGAGTGATTGGGTTAGGGCTTGGTGTAGCGGTAGTGAGTGATTGGGTTAGGGGTTGGTGTAGGGGTAGTGAGTGATTGGGTTAGTGCTTGGTGTAGCGGTAGTGAGTGATTGGGTTAGGGCTTGGTGTAGCGGTAGTGGGTGATTGGGTTAGTGCTTGGTGTAGCGGTAGTGAGTGATTGGGTTAGTGCTTGGTGTAGCGGTAGTGAGCGATTGGGTTAGTGCTTGGTGTAGCGGTAGTGAGTGATTGGGTTAGGGGTTGGTGTAGCGGTAGTGATAGGGGTAGTGATTGGGTTAGTGCTTGGTGTAGCGGTAGTGAGTGATTTGGTTAGTGCTTGGTGTAGCGGTAGTGAGTGATTGGGTTAGGGGTTGGTGTAGCGGTAGTGAGTGATTGGGTTAGGGCTTGGTGTAGCGGTAGTGAGTGATTGGGTTAGGGGTTGGTGTAGGGGTAGTGAGTGATTGGGTTAGGGGTTGGTGTAGCGGTAGTGATAGGGGTAGTGATTGGGTTAGGGCTTGGTGTAGCGATAGTGATTGGGTTAGTGCTTGGTAGTGAGTGATTGGGTTAGGGGTTGGTGTAGCGGTAGTGATAGGGGTAGTGATTGGGTTAGTGCTTGGTGTAGCGGTAGTGATTGGGTTAGTGCTTGGTGTAGCGGTAGTGAGTGATTGGGTTAGTGCTTGGTGTAGCGGTAGTGAGTGATTGGGTTAGTGCTTGGTGTAGCGGTAGTGATTGGGTTAGTGCTTGGTGTAGCGGTAGTGATTGGGTTAGGGGTTGGTGTAGCGGTAGTGATAGGGGTAGTGATTGGGTTAGTGCTTGGTGTAGCGGTAGTGATTGGGTTAGTGCTTGGTGTAGCGGTAGTGATAGGGGTAGTGATTGGGTTAGCGATTGGTGTAGCGGTAGTGAGTGATTGGGTTAGTGCTTGGTGTAGCGGTAGTGAGTGATTGGGTTAGTGCTTGGTGTAGCGGTAGTGAGTGATTGGGTTAGGGGTTGGTGTAGGGGTAGTGATTGGGTTAGTGCTTGGTGTAGCGGTAGTGATTGGGTTAGTGCTTGGTGTAGCGGTAGTGAGTGATTGGGTTAGGGGTTGGTGTAGCGGTAGTGATAGGGGTAGTGATTGGGTTAGGGCTTGGTGTAGCGGTAGTGAGTGATTGGGTTAGTGCTTGGTGTAGCGGTAGTGATAGGGGTAGTGATTGGGTTAGCGATTGGTGTAGCGGTAGTGAGTGATTGGGTTAGTGCTTGGTGTAGCGGTAGTGAGTGATTGGGTTAGTGCTTGGTGTAGCGGTAGTGAGTGATTGGGTTAGGGGTTGGTGTAGGGGTAGTGATTGGGTTAGTGCTTGGTGTAGCGGTAGTGATTGGGTTAGTGCTTGGTGTAGCGGTAGTGAGTGATTGGGTTAGGGGTTGGTGTAGCGGTAGTGATAGGGGTAGTGATTGGGTTAGGGCTTGGTGTAGCGGTAGTGAGTGATTGGGTTAGTGCTTGGTGTAGCGGTAGTGATTGGGTTAGTGCTTGGTGTAGCGGTAGTGAGTGATTGGGTTAGGGCTTGGTGTAGCGGTAGTGAGTGATTGGGTTAGTGCTTGGTGTAGCGGTAGTGAGTGATTGGGTTAGGGGTTGGTGTAGCGGTAGTGCTTGGGTTAGTGCTTGTGTAGCGGTAGTGATTGGGTTAGTGGTTGGTGTAGCGGTAGTGATAGGGGTAGTGATTGGGTTAGTGCTTGGTGTAGCGGTAGTGATTGGGTTAGTGCTTGGTGTAGCGGTAGTGATTGGGTTAGTGCTTGGTGTAGTGGTAGTGAGTGATTGGGTTAGTGCTTGGTGTTGCGTTAGTGAGTGATTGGGTTAGGGGTTGGTGTAGCGGTAGTGATAGGGGTAGTGATTGGGTTAGGGCTTGGTGTAGCGATAGTGATTGGGTTAGTGCTTGGTGTAGTGGTAGTGAGTGATTGGGTTAGGGGTTGGTGTAGCGGTAGTGATTGGGTTAGTGATTGGGTTAGTGCTTGGTGTAGCGGTAGTGATAGGGGTAGTGATTGGGTTAGTGCTTGGTGTAGCGGTAGTGAGTGATTGGGTTAGTGCTTGGTGTAGCGGTAGTGAGTGATTGGGTTAGTGCTTGGTGTAGCGGTAGTGATTGGGTTAGTGCTTGGTGTAGCGGTAGTGAGTGATTGGGTTAGGGCTTGGTGTAGCGGTAGTGAGTGATTGGGTTAGTGCTTGGTGTAGCGGTAGTGATTGGGTTAGGGGTTGGTGTAGCGGTAGTGATAGGGGTAGTGATTGGGTTAGTGCTTGGTGTAGCGGTAGTGATTGGGTTAGTGCTTGGTGTAGCGGTAGTGAGTGATTGGGTTAGGGGTTGGTGTAGCGGTAGTGATAGGGGTAGTGATTGGGTTAGGGCTTGGTGTAGCGGTAGTGAGTGATTGGGTTAGTGCTTAGTGTAGCGGTAGTGATTGGGTTAGTGATTGGGTTAGTGCTTGGTGTAGCGGTAGTGAGTGATTGGGTTAGTGCTTAGTGTAGCGGTAGTGATTGGGTTAGTGATTGGGTTAGTGCTTGGTGTAGCGGTAGTGAGTGATTGGGTTAGGGCTTGGTGTAGCGGTAGTGAGTGATTGGGTTAGTGCTTGGTGTAGCGGTAGTGAGTGATTGGTTAGGGGTTGGTGTAGCGGTAGTGCTTGGGTTAGTGCTTGGTGTAGCGGTAGTGATTGGGTTAGGGGTTGGTGTAGCGGTAGTGATAGGGGTAGTGATTGGGTTAGTGCTTGGTGTAGCGGTAGTGATTGGGTTAGTGCTTGGTGTAGCGGTAGTGATTGGGTTTGTGCTTGGTGTAGCGGTAGTGATTGGGTTAGGGCTTGGTGTAGGGGTAGTGAGTTATTGGGTTAGGGGTTGGTGTAGAGATAGTGAGTGATTGGGTTAGTGCTTGGTGTAGTGGTAGTGAGTGATTGGGTTAGGGGTTGGTGTAGGGGTAGTGATTGGGTTAGTGCTTGGTGTTGCGTTAGTGAGTGATTGGGTTAGGGGTTGGTGTAGCGGTAGTGATAGGGGTAGTGATTGGGTTAGGGCTTGGTGTAGCGATAGTGATTGGGTTAGTGCTTGGTGTAGTGGTAGTGAGTGATTGGGTTAGGGGTTGGTGTAGCGGTAGTGATTGGGTTAGTCATTGGGTTAGTGCTTGGTGTAGCGGTAGTGATAGGGGTAGTGATTGGGTTAGTGCTTGGTGTAGCGGTAGTGAGTGATTGGGTTAGTGCTTGGTGTAGCGGTAGTGAGTGATTGGGTTAGTGCTTGGTGTAGCGGTAGTGATTGGGTTAGTGCTTGGTATAGCGGTAGTGAGTGATTGGGTTAGGGCTTGGTGTAGCGGTAGTGAGTGATTGGGTTAGTGCTTGGTGTAGTGGTAGTGATTGGGTTAGTGCTTGGTGTAGCGGTAGTGGGTTAGGGGTTGGTGTAGCGGTAGTGATAGGGGTAGTGATTGGGTTAGGGCTTGGTGTAGCGGTAGTGAGTGATTGGGTTAGTGCTTGGTGTAGCGGTAGTGAGTAATTGGGTTAGTGCTTGGTGTAGCGGTAGTGAGTGATTGGGTTAGGGGTTGGTGTAGCGGTAGTGATAGGGGTAGTGATTGGGTTAGGGCTTGGTGTAGCGGTAGTGAGTGATTGGGTTAGTGCTTGGTGTAGCGGTAGTGATTGGGTTAGTGATAGGGTTAGTGCTTGGTGTAGCGGTAGTGAGTGATTGGGTTAGGGGTTGGTGTAGCGGTAGTGCTTGGGTTAGTGCTTGGTGTAGCGGTAGTGATTGGGTTAGGGGTTGGTGTAGCGGTAGTGATAGGGGTAGTGATTGGGTTAGTGCTTGGTGTAGTGGTAGTGAGTGATTGGGTTAGGGGTTGGTGTAGCGGTAGTGATTGGGTTAGTGCTTGGTGTAGCGGTAGTGATTGGGTTAGTGCTTGTTGTAGCGGTAGTGAGTGATTGGGTTAGTCCTTGGTGTAACGGTAGTGATTGGGTTAGTGCTTGGTGTAGCGGTAGTGATTGGGTTAGTGCTTGGTGTAGCGGTAGTGATTGGGTTAGGGGTTGGTGTAGCGGTAGTGATAGGGGTAGTGATTGGGTTAGTGCTTGGTGTAGCGGTAGTGATTGGGTTAGTGCTTGGTGTAGTGGTAGTGAGTGATTGGGTTAGTGCTTGGTGTAGCGGTAGTGATTGGGTTAGTGATAGGGTTAGTACTTGGTGTAGCGGTAGTGAGTGATTGGGTTAGGGGTTGGTGTAGCGGTAGTGCTTGGGTTAGTACTTGGTGTAGCGGTAGTGATTGGGTTATGGGTTGGTGTAGCGGTAGTGATAGGGGTAGTGATTGGGTTAGTGCTTGGTGTAGCGGTAGTGAGTGATTGGGTTAGGGGTTGGTGTAGGGGTAGTGATAGGGGTAGTGATTGGTTTAGGGCTTGGTGGAGCAGTGGTGATTGGGTTAGGGGTTTATCTAGTGGTATGGGTATTGATGATGGGGGTAGTGATGATGGGTTAGGGCTTGGTGTAGTGTTAGTGATTGGCTTAGGGTTTGGTGTAGTGATGATAGGGGTAGTGATTTTGTCAGGGGTAGACTCAGACCGCCACTTCGTTGGACTATCAATTGTCATAGCCAGGCCGCTTCCAAAAAGCGGTACACATCTCAGTGTGCCTTACGTGGTAAAATAAAAAAAAAATTGTTGAGATTAGAAGTGGCACTCGAATAATGGGGTTGTTTATTTGCGGACCTCGCCGAGTCGCGACTTGGAGGTCATTCGTGGTCATTGACTTGGAGGAGAGTTAAAACTATTGAACTATTAAAACTACTTTTTTATTTTACCAGCTCAGACCCTTTTTACCAGGTAAGGTTGCCACCTCACCGTGCGTCTGCTCTCTCTCTCCCTTCTCTTCCTTGTCTCCCGCACACACACCACCCACCGCCTCGCCGTCACCGCCACCACCCGCGCGTACCACCGCCACCATAACCGCCGCTATCAACCGTGTCACCACGACAACCGCCACCGCCACAACCGTCACCATGAACTGTCACTGCCTCCACCGCTGCAACCATCGCCACCGCTACTTCCACAACCACCACCACCACCACCACCGTCACCGCCGTCCCCCCCCAACATGCGCCCGCCCCCGCAGCACCAGCGCATCCACACGGACAAGAAGCCGTACCAGTGCGACACGTGCGGCAAGGCGTTCCTCCGCTCGCACGAGCTGCTGAGTCACCAGCGCGTTCACACAGGTGAGCGGCCGTACCGCTGCGACAAGTGCGGAAAGACCTTCCGCTGGTCGCACAGCCTCATCGGGCACAAGCGCACGCACAGCGCCGAGAAGAGCTTCCACTGCCGCACGTGCGGAAAGATGTACAAGCACCGCGCCTCTCTGGCCCTGCACCAGAAGTCGCACAAGTCCGGCGCGCAGCCGGGCGGCGTGGCCGGTGCCGACGCGCGGGACAAGCCGCCCGCGTTTCCCGACGCCTCCCCCAACAGCTTCCACTCGGACTTCGGGCAAGGTAACGCCGATGGGGGCGGCGGCGGCGGCGGCGGCACTGGCGGCGGCGGCGGCGGCGGCGGCGGTGGTGCCGGCGGCACTGGCGGCGGCGAAGGCGCCAGTGGGAACGAGCGGTGGGGGAGGAGGAGAGGGGACGGGACGGAGGATCGGCACTCCGGCTGGAGGAGTTCGGCGACGGTGGTGGCGGTTGTCGGTAGCCGCGGCGGCGGCGGCGGCGGTGGTGGCGGCAGTGGCCCATTCTGAGCGGCGGCGTCGTTCACGACGCCGCCGAGGATTTCATGGCCCCCCCCCCCCCCCCCCCCCCGGCATCCTCCGTCCTTGCCCAGGCTTGCTCCCCCACCACCTGAGCACCGTCGTCCCCTCGCGAGCCGCCCATCCCACACCCCCCCCACCGACTGTCCTGGCCGTCCGCTACCACCGCCGCTAACGTCGCCACCCGCCGCGTCCCCCCCCCTCGCCCCTCGCCTCTCCCCTCTCCTCCTCCTGTAGAGGAGTAATTGCGCCGACTGTGCTGTTGATTATTGCTCCGTAGCACAGAGCGAGTCCGCCCAGCGCCTCCGTCCCTCTCTTCCTTCTGCCCTGTCCCCTCCACCCTGCTGCTCCCTCCTCTCTCTCTCTCTCTCTGCATGATTCTGGGTGTCCTTGCTTTTCTGCTCTGCCTCCTGTTCCATCGCTATCCCTCTGCCCCCCCCGTGCCATCATCTGACCCGGTCACCTTTACCCTGCGTCTTCCTCCCTGCCGTTCATCTCCCATCCCTCCCCCCGCACCACCCCCACTAATCCCTCCATCTGCCTCCTCATCCACCGCCCCCCTCTGCACCCTTATCCCGGCTACATTGCACCCCACTCGTCGTGGGGCTATGGAGGTCGCAGACGATGAGCACCCATCGCCCAATGCGGACGTTAGCCGCACGCCCACAGCGATTACACCGGGGGGGTCTTGCAGACTCCTCGCGCAGAGACCCACAGACTGGCATAGAGACACATAGATTCGCATAGAAACCCGCAGGCTTGGGCAGACACCCACAGGCTAATCCAGAAACCCACAGGCTCGGGCAGATACTCACAGGCTCTCCCAAAGACACGCAGACTTGCCCAGAGACGCTCGCGCAGATACCAACAGGCTCGCCCAGGGAACCCGCGGGCTCGCCCAGGGAACCCGCGGGCTCGCCCAGACGACCCGCAGGCTCACCCAGAGAACTGCACGCTCTCCCATACACCCACAGGCTCGTCCAGAGACCCTCACGCTCGCCCTGAGACCCGCAGGCTCCCGCAGAGACCCACAGGCTCCTCCAGAGAACCGCAGGCTCTCCCAGAGACCCTCTTGGCTATTCCAGAGACCTGCAGGGTCACGCAGAGACCCACAGAGAGCCGCAGGGTCACGCAGAGACCCGCAGGCTCTCCCAGTCACCCCCAGGCTCACCCAGTCACCCACAGGCTTGCCCAGAGACCCTCACGCTCCCCCAGAGACGCGCAGGCTCCCCCAGAGACCCACAGGCTCACCCAGAGATCCAGAGGCTCCCCCAGAGACCCACAGGCTCCCCCAGAGACCCACAGGCTCTCCCAGAGACCCACAGGCTCTCCCAGAGACCCACAGGCTCCCCCAGAGACCCAGAGGCTCTCCCAGAGACCCACAAGCTCTCCCAAAGACCCACAGGCTCTCCCAGAGACCCATAGGCTCACACAGAGACCCACAGGCTTGCCCAGAGACCCTCACGCTCCCCCAGAGACCCACAGGCTCTCCCAGAGACCCAGAGGCTCGTCCAGAGACCCACAGGCTCTCCCAAACACCCACAGGCTCCCCCAGAGACCCACAGGCTCTCGCAGAGACCCAGAGGCTCCCCCAGAGACCCACAGGCTCCCCCAGAGACCCACAGGCTCTCCCAGAGACCCATAGGCTCACACAGAGACCCACAGGCTCTCCCAGAGACCCATAGGCTCGCACAGAGACCCGCAGAGAGCCGCAGGGTCATGCGGAGACCCGCAGGATCACACAGACACCCACAGGCTCGCCCTGAGACCCTCTTGGCTAGTCCAGAGACCCACAGGCTCTCCCAGAGACCCACAGGCTCTCTCAGAGACCCACAGGCTCTCCCAGAGCCTCAAAGGCTCTCTAAGAGACCCACAGGCTCTCCCAGAGACCCACAGGCTCACCCAGAGACCCACAGGCTCTCGCAGAGACCCACAGGCTCTCCCAGAGACCCAAAGGCTCTCTAAGAGACCCACAGGCTCTCCCAGAGACCCACAGGCTCACCCAGAGACCCACAGGCTCTCCCAGAGACCCACAGGCTCTCCCAGAGACCCACAGGCTCCCCAGAGACCCGCAGGCTCCCCCAGAGACCCACAGGCTCTCCCAGAGACCCACAGGCTCACCCAGAGACCCACAGGCTCTCCCAGATACCCAGAGCCTTGCCCAGAGACCCACAGGCTCTCCCAGAGACCCACAGGTTCCCCCAGATACCCAGAGGCTTGCCCAGAGACCCACAGGCTCTCCCAGAGACCCACAGGTTCCCCCAGAGACCCACAGGCTCGCCCTGAGACCCACAGGCTCCCCCAGAGACCCACAGGCTCCCCCAGAGACCCAGAGGCTCACCCAGAGACCCAGAGGCTCACCCAGAGACCCACAGGCTCTCCCAGAGACCGAGAGGCTCGCCCAGAGACCCACAGGCTCTCCCAGAGACCCACAGGCTCTCTCAGAGACCCACAGGCTCACCCAGAGACCCACAGGCTCACCCAGAGACCCACAGGCTCGTCCAGAGACCCACAGGCTCTCTCAGAGACCCACAGGCTCACCCAGAGACCCACAGGCTCGTCCAGAGACCCTCTTGGCTAGTCCAGAGACCTGCAGGGGCACGCAGAGACCCACAGGCTTGCCCAGTCACCCCCAGGCTCACCCAGTGACCCACAGGCTTGCCCAGAGACCCTCACGCTCCCCCAGAGACCCACAGGCTCTCCCAGAGAACCACAGGCTCTCCCAGAGAACCACAGGCTCTCCCAGAGAACCACAGGCTCTCCCAGAGACCCACAGGCTTGCCCAGAGACCCTCACGCTCCCCCAGAGACCCACAGGCTCTCCCAGAGACCCAGAGGCTCTCCCAGAGACCCAGAGGCTCGTCCAGAGACCCACAGGCTCTCCCAAACACCCACAGGCTCCCCCAGAGACCCACAGGCTCCCCCAGAGACCCAGAGGCTCTCCCAGAGACCCACAGGCTCTCCCAGAGACCCACAGGCTCCCCCAGAGACCCAGAGGCTCTCCCAGTCACCCCCAGGCTCGCCCAGTCACCCACAGGCTTGCCCAGAGACCCTCACGCTCTCCCAGAGACCCACAGGCTCCCCCAGAGACCCATAGGCTCACACAGAGACCCACAGGCTCCCCCAGAGACCCATAGGCTCACACAGAGACCCACAGGCTCTCCCAGAGACTCATAGGCTCGCACAGAGACCCGCAGAGAGCCGCAGGGTCATGCGGAGACCCGCAGGATCACACAGACACCCACAGGCTTGCCCAGTCGCCCACAGGCTGTCCCAGAGACCCTAACTCGTTCAGAGACCCTCACGCTCTCCCAGAGACCCACAGGCTCTCCCAGAGACCCTCTTGGCTAGTCCAGAGACCTGCAGGGTCACGCAGAGACCCACAGGCTTGCCCAGAGACCCACAGGCTCACCTGGAGGGCTCACAGGCTCTCCCAGAGACCCACAGGCTCTCCCAGAGACCCAGAGGCTCCCCCACAGACCCACAGGCTCCCCCAGAGACCCACAGGCTCCCCAGAGACCCACAGGCTCCTCCAGAGACCCACAGGCTCTCCCAGAGACCCACTGGCACGGCCAGAGACCCACAGGCTCCCCCAGAGACCCACAGTCTCTCCCAAAGACCCACAGGCTCCCCCAGAGACCCAGAGGCTCTCCCAGAGACCCAGAGGCTCTCCCAGAGACCCACAGGCTCTCCCAGAGAACCACAGGCTCTCCCAGAGACCCACAGGCTCTCCCAGAGACCCACAGGCTCTCCTAGAGACCCACAGGCTTGCCCAGAGACCCTCACGCTCCCACAGAGACCCACAGGCTCACCTAGAGGGCCCACAGGCTCCCCCAGAGACCCACAGGCTCTCTCAGAGACCCAGAGGCTCGTCCAGAGACCCACAGGCTCTCCCAAAGACCCACAGGCTCTCCCAGAGACCCATAGGCTCGCACAGAGACCCGCAGAGAGCCGCAGGGTCATGCGGAGACCCGCAGGATCACACAGACACCCACAGGCTTGCCCAGTCGCCCACAGGCTCTCCCAGAGACCCTAACTCGTTCAGAGACCCTCACGCTCTCCCAGAGACCCACAGGCTCTCCCAGAGACCCTCTTGGCTAGTCGAGAGAGCTGCAGGGTCACCCAGAGAGCCGCAGGGTCACGCAGAGACCCGCAGGATCCCCCAGAGACCCAGAGGCTCCCCCAGAGACCCACAGGCTCTCCCAGAGACCCACAGGCTCTCCCAGAGACCCAGAGGCTCTCCCAGAGACCCACAGGCTCTCCCAGAGACCCACAGGCTCTCCCAGAGACCCCACAGGCTCTCCCAGAGACCCACAGGCTCTCCCAGAGACCCACAGGCTCTCCCAGAGACCCACAGGCTCCCCCAGAGACCCACAGGCTCTCCCAGAGAGCCACAGGCTCTCCCAGAGACCCACAGGCTCCCCCAGAGACCCAGAGGCTCTCCCAGAGACCCACAGGCTCTCCCAGAGACCCATAGACTCATACAGAGACCCACAGGCTCTCCCAGAGACCCATCGGCTTGCACAGAGACCTGCAGGGGCACGCAGAGACCCGCAGAGAGCCGCAGGGTCATGCAAAGACCCGCAGGATCACACAGACACCCACAGGCTTGCCCAGTCACGCACAGGCTCTCCCAGAGACCCACAGGCTCCCCCAGTCACCCACAGGCTCGCCCAGAGACCCTCTTGGCTTGTCCAGATACCTGCAGGGTTACGCAGAGTCCCACAGGATCACGCAGACACCTACAGGCTCCCCCAGAGACCCAGAGGCTCTCCCAGAGACCCAGAGGCTCTCCCAGAGACCCACAGGCTCTCCCAGAGACCCACAGGCTCTCCTAGAGACCCACAGGCTCTCCCAGAGACCCTCACGCTCCCACAGAGATCCACAGGCTCACCTAGAGGGCCCACAGGCTCCCCCAGAGACCCACAGGCTCTCTCAGAGACCCAGAGGCTCGTCCAGAGACCCAAAGGCTCCCCCAGAGACCCACAGGCTCTCCCAGAGACCCATAGGCTCACACAGAGACCCACAGGCTCACACAGAGACCCACAGGCTCTCCCAGAGACCCAGAGGCTCTCCCAGAGACCCGCAGAGAGCCGCAGGGTCATGCGGAGACCCGCAGGATCACACAGACACCCACAGGCTTGCCCAGTCGCTCACAGGCTCTCCCAGAGACCCTAACTCGTTCAGAGACCCTCACGCTCTCCCAGAGACCCACAGGCTCTCCCAGAGACCCTCTTGGCTAGTCGAGAGAGCTGCAGGGTCACTCAGAGAGCCGCAGGGTCACGCAGAGACCCGCAGGATCACGCAGCGACCCACAGGCTCACCCAGAGACCCACAGGTTCCCTCAGAGACCCACAGGCTCCCCCAGAGACCCACAGTCTCTCCCAGAGACCCACAGTCTCTCCCAAAGACCCACAGGCTCTCCCAGAGACCCATATGCTCACACAGAGACCCCACAGGCTCTCCCAGAGACCCATAGGCTCACACAGAGACCCCACAGGCTCTCCCAGAGAACCACAGGCTCCCCCAGAGAGCCGCAGGATCACGCAGCGACCCACAGGCTCACCCAGAGACCCACAGGTTCCCTCAGAGACCCATAGGCTCACACAGAGACCCCACAGGCTCTCCCAGAGACCCATAGGCTCACCCAGAGACCCACAGGCTCCCCCAGAGACCCACAGTCTCTCCCAGAGACCCACAGTCTCTCCCAAAGACCCACAGGCTCTCCCAGAGACCCATAGGCTCACACAGAGACCCACAGGCTCTCCCAGAGACCCACAGGCTCACCCAGAGACCTACAGGCTCACCTAGAGGGCCCACAGGCTCTCCTAGAGTCCCACAGGCTCTCCCAGAGACCCACAGGCTTGCCCAGAGACCCTCTTGGCTAGTCCAGATACCTGCAGGGTTACGCAGAGACCCACAGGCTCCCCCAGAGACCCACAGGCTCCCCCAGAGACCCAGAGGCTCTCCCAGAGACCCAGAGGCTCTCCTAGAGACCCACAGGCTCTCCCAGAGACCCACAGGCTCTCCCACAGACCCACAGGCTCTCCCAGAGAACCACAGGCTCTCCCAGAGACCCACAGGCTCTCCCAGAGACCCACAGGCTTGCCCAGAGACTCTCACGCTCCCCCAGAGACCCACAGGCTCACCTAGAGGGCCCACAGGCTCCCCCAGAGACCCACAGGCTCTCTCAGAGACCCAAAGGCTCGTCCAGAGACCCACAGGCTCCCCCAGAGACCCACAGGCTCTCTCAGAGACCCAAAGGCTCCCCCAGAGACCCACAGGCTCCCCCAGAGACCCACAGGCTCTCCCAGAGACCCACAGGCTCACACAGAGACCCACAGGCTCTCCCAGAGACCCACAGGCTCTCCCAGAGACCCATAGGCTCGCACAGAGACCCACAGGCTCTCCCAGAGACCCATAGGCTCGCACAGAGACCCACAGGCTCTCCCAGAGACCCACAGGCTCTCCCAGAGACCCACAGGCTCTCCCAGAGACTCATAGGCTCGCACAGAGACCCGCAGAGAGCCGCAGGGTCATGCGGAGACCCGCAGGATCACACAGACACCCACAGGCTTGCCCAGTCGCTCACAGGCTCTCCCAGAGACCCTAACTCGTTCAGAGACCCTCACGCTCTCCCAGAGACCCACAGGCTCTCCCAGAGACCCTCTTGGCTAGTCGAGAGAGCTGCAGGGTCACGCAGAGAGCCGCAGGGTCACGCAGAGACCCACAGGCTCTCCCAGAGACCCACAGGTTCCCTCAGAGACCCACAGGCTCACCCAGAGACCCACAGTCTCTCCCAGAGACCCACAGTCTCTCCCAAAGACCCACAGGCTCACCCAGAGACCCACAGGCTCCCCCAGACACCCACAGTCTCTCCCAGAGACCCACAGTCTCTCCCAAAGACCCACAGGCTCTCCCAGAGACCCATAGGCTCACACAGAGACCCCACAGGCTCTCCCAGAGACCCATAGGCTCCCTCAGAGACCCACAAGCTCACCCAGAGACCCACAGGCTCCCCCAGAGAGCCGCAGGATCACGCAGCGACCCACAGACTCTCCCAGAGAACCACAGGTTCCCTCAGAGACCCACAGGCTCACCCAGAGACCCACAGGCTCACCCAGAGACCCACAGGCTCCCCCAGAGACCCACAGTCTCTCCCAGAGACCCACAGTCTCTCCCAGAGACCCACAGGCTCTCCCAGAGACCCATAGGCTCACACAGAGACCCACAGGCTCTCCCAGAGACCCACAGTCTCTCCCAGAGACCCACAGGCTCTCCCAGAGACCCATAGGCTCACACAGAGACCTGCAGGGGCGCGCAGAGACCCGCAGGGTCACACAGACACCCACAGGCTTGCCCAGTCACGCACAGGCTCTCCCAGAGACCCACAGGCTCACCCAGAGACCTACAGGCTCACCTAGAGGGCCCACAGGCTCTCCTAGAGACCCATAGGCTCTCCCAGAGACCCACAGGCTTGCCCAGAGACCCTCTTGGCTTGTCCAGATACCTGCAGGGTTACGCAGAGACCCACAGGCTCCCCCAGAGACCCACAGGCTCCCCCAGAGACCCAGAAGCTCTCCCAGAGACCCAGAGGCTCTCCTAGAGACCCACAGGCTCTCCCAGAGACCCACAGGCTCTCCCAGAGACCCACAGGCTCTCCCAGAGACCCACAGGCTTGCCCAGAGACCCTCACGCTCCCCCAGAGACCCACAGGCTCTCTCAGAGACCCAAAGCCTCGTCCAGAGACCCACAGGCTCCCCCAGAGACCCATAGGCTCGCACAGAGACCCGCAGAGAGCCGCAGGGTCATGCGGAGACCCGCAGGATCACACAGACACCCACAGGCTTGCCCAGTCGCTCACAGGCTCTCCCAGAGACCCTAACTCGTTCAGAGACCCTCACGCTCTCCCAGAGACCCACAGGCTCTCCCAGAGACCCTCTTGGCTAGTCGAGAGACCTGCAGGGTCACGCAGAGACCCACAGGCTCTCCCAGTCACCCCCAGGCTCGCCCAGTCACCCACAGGCTTGCCCAGAGACCCTCACGCTCGCCCTGAGACCCACAGGCTCTCTCAGAGACCCACAGGCTCTCTCAGAGACCCACAGGCTCCCCCAGAGACCCACAGGCTCCCCCAGAGACCCACAGGCTCCCCCAGAGACCCAGAGGCTCACCCAGAGACCCACAGGCTCTCCCAGAGACCCACAGGCTCACCCAGAGACCCACAGTCCACATCCTCCTATCTCCTCCCTCCCTCTTTCCTTTCCTCCCCACCACTCCCGTGTCCTCCTCTCCCCCCGCCCCCCCCCATTCTCACCCTTCCCCCTCTCCCCGCCTCACGCCGCCCCCCCCCCCGAGTCGGCTGTACTCGCTCAGCAACCCCAGAGTCAGGGAGAGTGTGTGGGGTTAACGCCACCAGCGTGTGGCGATAAAACCAGGACGTCAGGAGAGAAATGCCCTTAAAGCCCCAGTTTACACGGCATGTTGGGTGGAATTCCTCATTGCTTGTCTCCCCCCCCCGGAAAACGAACGAATCCAAACCCCTCCCCGGAAAGCGGAACGCGTCCACCCCGCGCCGAAGACGGAGCCAAAACGGAGATGCCCTAAAACAAAACCCGCGTCCGAGGCAAAAACAAAACAACAAAAAAAAACCAGCAAACGCCGCCGCCTTGGAAGCAGCGGTCCCTTTTGCGCGCGGTCCTGCATGTGCGCTTCGAGTCGCTCCGACGTTAAACCACTGGGGCTTTAAGATCTCGCTTGCTCGCCCGACCGCCCCCATCCCCACCGCGCCGGACGCTGCCGAGGAGGGGGAGGAGCGGCGGCGGCGGCGGCGGCGGCGGCGAAAATTCGTGCAGTGACGCAGCTTTGTCGCTGTTGACGACGATGATGATGGCTGTGGAGGCTGTGGTTTTGTCACGGTGACTGTTTATTACGGGGGGGGCGGGGGCGGGGCGGGAAAGTCGCGGCGTTTTTGAATGGAAATAAAGTAAGCGCCCCCCTCCCCCCCAACTTGGCGTTTTAGGGTGACGCGTGGGGTGACGTGTGGGGGTGACGTGTGGGGTGACGTGTGGGGTGACGTGGGGGTGACGTGGGGGTGACGTGGGGGGTGACGTGTGGGGGTGACGTGTGGGGTGATGTGTGGGGTGACGTGGGGGTGACGTGGGGGTGACGTGGGGGGTGACGTGGGGGGTGACGCGTGGGTGTGACGTGGGGTGTGACGTGGGGTGTGACGTGGGGGGTGACGCGTGGGGGTGACGTGGGGGTGACGTGGGGGTGGTGCCTCCGCCAGCCACGTGGAGGACGACTCCGCTACTCGGTGCCGACGTCGCAGCCTTGCCGCAGTTCCCCCGGAGCGACCCACCCCCCCTCCCTCTCCTCCTCGCCCACGCTTCCGTGTTTGATTCCCAGGCACAGGTGGTGCGCCCACCCCCCCACGCGGCCGGCCCCCCCCCCCACTTCTCGACACACCGAGGAACGGAGCCGACCTTAACTCCACCGCTCTCGCCCCCCTCCACAAAACACACGGACACAAGTGCCTGGCAACAACCCCCTCTGTGTGTGTGTGTGTGTGCGCTACCCACCCCGTGCCCCCCTACCCACCCCGTGCCCCCCTACCCACCCCGTGCCCCCCTACCTACCGTCTCCTCCCCTCACCCGCTCCTCACCCCCCCCCTCCCCGCCCCCCTTCCCTTCCCCCACGCACGCTTCCTCCCGAATGCTTGGGGGTGAGCAGGAAGCCAGGGCGGGGAAGGGCGGGTGGGAGTGCAGCAGCAGCAGCAGCAGCAACAGCAGCAGCAGCAGCAGCAGCAGCAGGGAGCCGCGGGTAGCGCCGCCGGCGGCAGCGGCGGCGGCGGCGGCGGCGGCGGCGCTGCTCAGGCGGTGCGCGAGGACGGCAAGGAGGAGCACCCCTGCGCGCTGCCGCCACTGCAGACCAACAGCCGCGGGGAGGTGACCTTCCGCTGCGGCGAGTGCGGCAAGTGCTACCTGTGGCCGCCCTACTTCCGGCAGCAGCCTCGCCCGTACTGGTGATTTTTTTTTTGGGGGGGCGGGGGGGGGGCGGTGGCGGTGGAGGGTTGCGGGGTTGCGGGGTTGGGGGGGGGGGCCCCAGCTGCGGCCAACCCTCGCTGCGAGCTCTGACCGACCTTGCTTAGTCCGGCCCGAGAGCCGTCCCATCATCGGGCCCCGCCGACGACGACGATGAAGGAACATCGGCCGACCCGCCCCGGGGAGAGCCGCCTTGGTGGCGGCGGTGGTGGCGGTGGTGGGCGGTGGTGGGGGGGGCGGTGGGGGGGGGCGGTGGGGGGCAAGAGAGGGAGCGGCGGCGGCGGGCGTTGAGTTGGCGGGCAGAAGTAGAAGACTCCGCCACACTTCACCTTAGCTTCTTTCGTTTGTTGTTTTGTTTGGTGGGAGTTTTTGGACGCGAGAGTCGAGGTGACGCCGGCGGCGGCGCTCCCCAAGTAACCCCAGTGGTTTATTTGAAGGCTGCGGGGGGGTCCCCCTGTGGATTACGCACCACATCATCATCCTCCACCGCAACCACCACGGATCTTGCCAAACTCGCAGTGGCCACGACCTTCCAGCCTCGGCATGAAACCACCAACCCCCGACTCTCCTTCCTTGCTGCTGCTGCTGCCGCCGCCGCCCATCGACAAGCTTCGTGCGTGCGTGCTGACGTGTACGGTGTGTCATTTCACCACCCGCTGACGTTGATGATCATGATGATGATGATGGCGGTGGTCGGTGGGAGTGCGTGGTTGTTGATGGTGGGTAGCGCAACCAGAGCCGGCTTGTGTACAAGCCGGCCGCGGTGGCGCTTGATGAACATATTGGCGAGTCCTTGGTTTGGCGCGGACGCTCGGCTCATTCTATGAAAGCTCGTTTTGCTTTTATAATTCTCGCGGGTTATCAACATCTTTTTTTGTTTGTTGTCGTGGTGATGATGATGATGATTCCTGGGCACAAATTCACGCCGATTAATCGCTGGCTTTAGAAGGCGGGTGATGGTGGCGGTGGGCGGCTTTAGGAGGTAAAAACGCAATTATTATTTTTGTTTAATTTTTTTTCCTTTATCCCCCCCCCGTCATTTTGATTTGGGGCTCTGCAAGCGCTCTGATAATTTCTGAAGCGTTACTTTTGCGCTACGGGCGATTGGATTTCTTTCTCTCTCTCTCGCTCTCTCGCTCTCCCTCCGACATTTTTACAAGTGCATTTCTAGCGGAAGCGCTCCACCACAACGCTTGGGCACGCACGGCCGAGGCTGTCAAAAACCTACGCACGACGTTCCCACCCGATCGATCTGACGGTGTATATATGTAGCAACCGTGTTGCGGTGGCAACTGTATTTTAAGATGAGTCCAAATAAATCACGGGGAAGGGGGGTGGAGGTGGAGGGGCGGGGGATGGGGTGTGGTGGGTATTGGTGTTTGTAAAGAGAAAAAAAAATACTAATTATTGTTACGAATGAAAGTTCGGGTTGTTAAAACGCGGGGGGCGGGGGGGGGAAATGTACGTAAAAACCTGAGAGCCGCCGGTTGTGTTTTCATACGCGGCGTTTTTCCCCTCCTCTCCCACCCTCCGTTTCGACGGAATTTGGTCAGGCGCGTCGCCGACTCGAATCTTTCATGATCCGCTAAACCCAACGGGAAGCCCCCCCCCCCCTCCGCCCCCCCCGCCCACCGTCTTTCGCCCGACAAGACTTCCAAAAGCTTCCGCGGCCGCTCCGATTCTCGTCCCCCGGGGCACCAGGCAACCCCCCCCACCGCCCGCCCCCTGTTCGCGTCGGGGGGGGGGGGGGGGGGTTGGCACGAGTTCCTCTCCATCGTGGGCAACCGCCGTTGATCTCCCACCCCCGCAACGTACGAACGTGAAACTTCTTTCGCACCGTCAATGTCGCCAACCGCGCTGATCGGCAGCTGCTCGGTTTTTTTCGACGATTGGTGCCCCCCCCACCCCCCCCTCCCTCCGAGATAAGCCCCCCCCAACCAGGATTTTAATTTCTCCGTGGTGGAGGTCCGTCAACGTCTCGGCTCTTATCATGACAGCGGCGGGGGAGGCGGAGCGTCAAAACTCATTAAAAGACAGATCAAGAGTTTCCATTGGTTTTTTTTTATTTAGCTGGTCCGCTTGCTTAAGGGGTCCTCCTCCCCCCCCAACGGTATCGTAGCTTTCAGGCTGCCCCGGACCCCCATCGGGAGGGGGCCCGGGGGGGGGGGTGGCGGTGAAGTCCGTCGTGCTGAGCCGGTTGGTTTAAGGCCCCCCCCCCCCCCCCCCCCCCCCCCCCCAAATCGCCAGACCCTCAGAGTATTTATTCGCGGTTTGCTATCCAGCAGCAGAAAAAACTCGCGCCTCCTGGCGAAGGAAGGACTTACCGCCACGTTGAGATCCACGCCAGCACTTGTTGGCCAGACGGCGCGCACTCAACGTGACAGAAGTGAATCGGGAGGCCGGCGCAGCTTTTAAAGTGTCGTTGCTTTCACCCCCATCCCCATACCCCGCCCGCCCGCCCCCCCCGTGAAATCACGTTGCGTATCCCCGCCTCATCAAGATCCCACCCCGTGGTGTAAGTCTCGACAGCCTTGTGGGCCATTTGGCAAGCAGCGCCTGGCAAGGCCGGCAGCCACGCGGGCATCTTGAGAGGACGCCGGTGCGCAGGCTTGGCTGGCGGATTGACTCGTCGATTCGCGTCACACGGCAATCCGCTCGCTCGCTCTCTCTCTCTCTTTCTCTCGGGGCTTCATTTCTACACAGGGCGCGCACCCACGCGCACGCACACACACACACACCAACACAATTGTACATACAAGACTTTATTTGATAACTTTGTAATTTACTAATTATTGCAGGCGCGGTCGCTCCGCGCGGAGCGGGAAGGCGGAGGTGTGGAGGGAGTGTCGGGTCCCCCCCCGTCGGCCGTGCATGTTCATTTGTTTCTGTGGGGGCAGGGGGCGGTGCCGAGTGTGGATCCACCACCCACACAACCAGATCCCTACCCCACCAACCACCCCCCCCCCCACCCCTGCCTCGTGTGTTACTGGACACAATATATTATCTTTGTTATAATAACCCTACCGTAGCTGTTTAAAAAAAAAACCCGTGTTTCCAATGTATAGTTAGTGTGACAGGAAGGTGGTTATTTTATATTAAAATTCAAATAAAAACACGTGTGTGCACACATACAAAACCTCTTCTTCCTATTCTCAACTCCCCCCTCCCTCTTCCACCAAACAGCATTTCATGAGTGGAGGGGGTCCACACCATGGTTTCCACCACCCCCTTCCGACTCATCCCCTAACCCTGGCAACACCCCGGACTCCGCGAGGTTTGGCTGTGGTTGGAACGCCACCCCCACCCCCGAGACCCACTCCCCATTGCTTTTCTATGTGACAAATGTAACACTGTGCAAAAAAAAAACCGGAATAATAGGTCTCCCCCCCCCCTCCCGTATGTTGTTGTACTAAAATAAAGTGTTTTATGAAGGTTGTACGCCTATTCGTTGAGTGGGGGTGGTGGAGGCGTTGGGGGAGGGGTGTGCTGTGGATAGGAGTACTGTGAGTTGGTGGTGGGGTAGGAGGTGAGTGGGTGAGGTTTTGGGGGGGGGGGGGGGCAGGAGGAAAAATCCATCACTGGCACAAGAAGAGATGGAGTGATGTGGTAGAGGAGGACGTGGAGCTGAGTGGACTTGCCGATGACCGGTACCAGCGGTGTCAAGATCGGCCTCTGTGGAGGAGGCTCGTGAAGGACGCTGCTACTGGGCTGTTGGAGGCAGCGCCCTCCAGCAACAATGGAGGGCGGAGTGCCGGGTGGCTAGAAACGCGGCAAGTTGTCACGGTAGGGGGCACAGGTGGTGCATCTCCCAGTCATCTCGGCCAACCCATGGCAGCTGCTGGGTCTGTCCTGTGACCCACCTGCAGGTAGTCGACACGTCACGTGGCCTCCGTGCACCTTCCCTGGCACGTCGTATGCAGGCATGGTGACGACCTTCATTCGGTGCTCGCCAACAGCTTTTGGCTATATGGGGGATCTTTGCCCTTTGGGCAGATGAGTAGGTGGGTGGGTGAGTAGGGTCAGTGGTTGAGTAGGGTGAGTGGGTGGGTGAGTAGGGTGAGTAGGGTGAGTGGGTGGGTGGGCGAGTAGGTTGGTGGGTGAACAGGCTTGTGGGTGAGTAGGTGGGTGAGCAGGCAGATGGGCAGGCAAGTATGCAGTTGTGTGAGTAGGTGGGTGGGTGAATGAGCAGGTGGGTGGGCAAGCGAGTGGGTGGGTGAGTAGGTTGATGGGTGAGTAGGTTGGTGGGTGAGTAGGTTGGTGGGTGAGTAGGTTGGTGGTTGAGTAGGTTGGTGGGTGAGTAGGTTGGTGGGCGAGTAGGTTGGTGGGCGAGTAGGTTGGTGGGCGAGTAGGTTGGTGGGCGAGTAGGTTGGTGGGCGAGTAGGTTGGTGGGTGAGTAGGTTGGTGGGTGAGTAGGTTGGTGGGTGAGTAGGTTGGTAGGTGAGTAGGTTGGTGGGTGAGTAGGTTGGTGGGTGAGTAGGTTGGTGGGTGAGTAGGTTGGTGGGTGAGTAGGTTGGTGGGTGAGTAGGTTGGTGGGTGAGTAGGTTGGTGGGCGAGTAGGTTGGTGGGCGAGTAGGTTGGTGGGCGAGTAGGTTGGTGGGCGAGTAGGTTGGTGGTTGAGTAGGTTGGTGGGTGAGTAGGTTGGTGGGTGAGTAGATTGGTGGGTGAGTAGGTTGGTGGGTGAGTAGGTTGGTGGGTGAGTAGGTTGGTGGGTGAGTAGGTTGGTGGGTGAGTAGGTTGGTGGGTGAGTAGGTTGGTGGTTGAGTAGGTTGGTGGGTGAGGTTGGTGGGTGAGTAGGTTGGTGGGTGAGTAGATTGGTGGGTGAGTAGGTTGGTGGGTGAGTAGGTTGGTGGTTGAGTAGGTTGATGGGTGAGTAGGTTGGTGGGTGAGTAGGTTGGTGGGTGAGTAGGTTGATGGGTGAGGTTGGTGGGTGAGTAGGTTGGTGGTTGAGTAGGTTGGTGGGTGAGTAGGTTGGTGGGTGAGTAGGTTGGTGGGTGAGTAGGTTGGTGGGTGAGGTTGGTGGTTGAGTAGGTTGGTGGGTGAGTAGGTTGGTGGTTGAGTAGGTTGGTGGGTGAGTAGGTTGGTGGGTGAGTAGCTTGGTGGTTGAGTAGCTTGGTGGTTGAGTAGGTTGGTGGTTGAGTAGGTTGGTGGGTGAGTAGGTTGGTGGGCGAGTAGGTTGATGGGTGAGGTTGGTGGTTGAGTAGGTTGGTGGGTGAGTAGGTTGGTGGGTGAGTAGGTTGGTGGGTGAGTAGGTTGGTGGGTGAGTAGGTTGGTAGGTTGGTGGTTGAGTAGGTTGGTGGGTGAGTAGGTTGGTGGTTGAGTAGGTTGGTGGTTGAGTAGGTTGGTGGTTGAGTAGGTTGGTGGGTGAGTAGGTTGGTGGGTGAGTAGGTTGGTGGGTGAGTAGGTTGGTGGATGAGTAGGTTGGTGGGTGAGTAGGTTGGTGGGTGAGTAGGTTGGTGGGTGAGTAGGTTGGTGGGCGAGTAGGTTGGTGGGTGAGTAGGTTGGTGGATGAGTAAGTTGGTGGGTGAGTAGACGAGTGGATGGGTGGGCCGATGAGAACTGGACGGGTGGATGAGAATTAAAACCGTGACTGAACCCAGCAACAAATTGGACAGTGGCGAAGCCGGGCCGACGGAACAATTCCACCGACAATCCGCGGCGATTGGGTTGGGCAGGGAGGTGGGTGGGGTAGATAGGGGTGGGGGTGGGGTGGGGTTGTCTCCCACCGCCAACACGACGATACCCACTCCAAGCCATTACAACGTCCGTCATTTATTCATCACGGGGTTCCAAGAGAAGAAGAGACATCGCCGTGAAGTATGGGGGTGGTGGTGGCGGCGTGGGTGGGTGGGCGACACGCAACACAGCAACAAACCGAACTCCCAACATCATCTTACCCAACACCACCCCACCCAACTATAGCCCCCCCCCTCCCCCCCCCCCCCCCAACCAAGACAATAAAATAAACAGCAAAACTGTCATCACTTTGGCAACAATATACAGTACGGAGTCAAGCACGCGTGTGTTGGTGGTGGGCGACTGCGATGATGATGATGATGGCGGCGATGGGCGTGATGGTGACGATGACGACGGTGGTGACGATGATGGTGGTTGGTCGTGGTGACGATAGCGGTGGTAGCAGTGGTGGTGGTGAAAGCGGTGGTGGTAGTGACGATAGTAGCGGTGGTGGTGATAGCAATGGTGGAGTTGGCGACGATGATGATGATAGCGGTGGTAGCAGTGGTGGTGAAAGTGGTGACAGCAATGGTGGCGGTGACGATGATGATAGCGGTGGTAGTGGTGACAGCAATGGTGGTGGCGACGATGATGATAGCGGTGGTGACAGCGGTGGTGGTGGCGACAGCAATGGTGGTGACAGCAATGGTGGTGGTGACAGCAATGGTGGCGGCGACAGCAATGGTGGTGGCGACGATGATGATGATGATAGCGGTGGTGGTGGTGACAGCAATGGTGGTGACGATGATGATAGCGGTGGTGGTGGTGACAGCAATGGTGGTGACGACGATGATGATGATAGCGGTGGTGGTGACAGCAATGGTGGCGGTGACAGCAATGGTGGTGCGTCACCTCCTGCACCAACGGCTCTGGCGCCGTGCGCGCCCCTAAGAGTCGTCGTCCCCGAAGACTCTGCGCGAGTTGGGGAAGCGACTGGGGTCGTAGTCCGAGTCGTCCTTCAGGCGCTTCTTGATGTCAGACTTCACCTGGGGGTAGGGGTGGGGAGGGGGGAGAGTTGAGCAACCTCAGCCGCACGTCACCCGCCGCCTGTGCCCGTGAGCGACGGAGCGACGCGTCACCTGCTGCCTGTACGCGGCCTGCGTGGCGTCGGCGTCGCGTGCCAGCGACTCCACGCTGGTCACCGGCTGAGCCCCGGCTCCGCGCGCCGCTCGGCGTAGAGCGTCGGCCAGGGACAGGCGTCCACCCTCCCCCTCCTGCATGGTCTGTGGACAGTGTCGCCAACGTGTCACAGGAACCACTCGGACACACCGCCACCACAACACCACCACCACACCGCCACACCACCACACCGCCAATCAGCCACACCGCCACCATACCAATCAGCCACACCGCTACCACAACACCACACCAAACATCAGCCACACCATACAGCCACACCATACAGCCACACCCCCACCACACCACCACACCACCACCCCAAACAGCAGCCACAACAATCTCCACACCGCCACCACACCACCACCACACCACCACCACACCAAACAGCAGCCACACCAAAGCAGCCACACCAAAGCAGCCACACCGCCACCACCACACCAAACAGCAGCCACACCAATCAGCCACACCGCCACCACACCAATCAGTCACACCGCCGCCACCACACCAAACAACCACGCCACCAAACAAGCACATAAAACCTCACCCGCACCTTCCTGCGCTTGGCGGGCATGCCGCTGAGATAGGCGTCGCTGAACGGAGCCTGCGGCTTGATGCGCCGCTGGGTGTGGATATCCTGCCTCATCACCGGCACCCAGTCCTGACGGGCTCCCCGGGTTTGGGGGTCAGGGGAGGGGGGGGGGATGCACAACGGTGGCACCACAGATTAGCACGGTTGGCTACGTGCTGTGAAGTTCGCACCTCTCACGTCTCTCTCCACACTCCACTCACTCTGTAGAACAGGGCTAGAACACACAAACTCCACTCACTCACTCTGTAGAACAGGAGTAGAACACACAAACTCCACTCACTCACACTGTAGAACAGGAGTAGAACACACAAACTCCACTCACTTGCTCTCACTGTAGAACAGGGGTAGAACACACAAACTCCACTCACTTGCTCTCACTGTAGAACAGGAGTAGAACACACAAACTCCACTCACTCACACTGTAGAACAGGAGTAGAACACACAAACTCCACTCACTCACTCTGTAGAACAGGGGTAGAACACACAAACTCCACTCACTCACTCTGTAGAACAGGAGTAGAACACACAAACTCCACTCACTCACTCTGTAGAACAGGGGTAGAACACACAAACTCCACTCACACACTCTCACTGTAGAACAGGGGTAGAACACACAAACTCCACTCACTCACTCTGTAGAACAGGGCTAGAACACACAAACTCCACTCACTCTGTAGAACAGGGCTAGAACACACAAACTCCACTCACTCTGTAGAACAGGGGCAGAACACACAAACTCCACTCACTCTGTAGAACAGGGCAGAACACACAAACTCCACTCACTCACTCTGTAGAACAGGGCTAGAACACACAAACTCCACTCACTCACTCTGTAGAACAGGGCTAGAACACACAAACTCCACTCACTCACTCTCAATGTAGAACAGGGGTTGAACACACAAACTCTACTCACTCACTCACTCTGTAGAACAGGAGTAGAACACACAAACTCCACTCACTCACTCTGTAGAACATGAGTAGAACACACAATCTCCACTCACTCTGTAGAACAGGGGTAGAACACACAAACTCCACTCACTCTGTAGAACAGGGATAGAACACACAAACTCCACTCACTTGCTCTCACTGTAGAACAGGGGTAGAACACACAAACTCCACTCACTCACTCTGTAGAACAGGGCTAGAACACACAAACTCCACTCACTCACTCTGTAGAACAGGGCTAGAACACACAAACTCCACTCACTCACTCTGTAGAACAGGGCTAGAACACACAAACTCCACTCACTCACTCTGTAGAACAGGGCTAGAACACACAAACTCCACTCACTCACTCTGTAGAACAGGAGTAGAACACACAAACTCCACTCACTCACTCTGTAGAACAGGGGCTAGAACACACAAACTCCACTCACTCACTCTGTAGAACAGGGCTAGAACACACAAACTCCAATCAGGACGGCTCCCATCATCCCACTGCGATCCTCCAAAACCCAACCCAACCCAACCACCACAGTCTACAGACGGACGTCCCCCCGTGTAACCAAGCGTCTGCTATCCCAGCACCATCCTCCAAAACCCAACCACCACATCTACAGACGGATGTCCCCGGTGTGACCCTTGACGTCCCATCGCGATCACCCCACCGCGGTGGTGGAGGCGGGGGGGTGCCAACGGACTCACGGGTGGCACCACGGAGGCCCAGGCGTCGCCCACCAAAGCCTCGGCGCCCGTCGCCGCTTCCTCCTGGCCAAGCGTCGCCCCCGGTGGCACGGCGTCCATGGCGACGGGCCGGTCGGCCAGACCCGCGGCCTCTTCCGCGGTGGTGGCCGGCGGGGGAGACTGCATGGGAGCCGACTGAGGCCACGGTGGCAGCGTTAGCGTTGATTGCAGCATTAGCGGCGTTGATGATGGTAGCAGTGTTGGCGGTGTTGATGGCGACAGTAGTGATACTGACGGTGGTGGCGTTGATGATGGTAGCAGTGTTGGCGGTGTTGATGGCGACAGTAGTGATACTGACGGTGGTGGTGTTGATGATGGTAGCGGTGTTGGCGGTGTTGATGGGGACAGTAGTGATACTGACGGTGGTGGTGTTGATGATGGTAGCAGTGTTGGCGGTGTTGATGGCGACAGTAGTGATACTGACGGTGGTCGTATTGATGATGGTAGCAGTGTTGGCGGTGTTGATGGCGACAGTAGTGATACTGACGGTGGTGGTGTTGATGATGGTAGCAGTGTTGGCGGTGTTGATGGGGACAGTAGTGATACTGACGATGGTGGCGTTGATGATGGTAGCAGTGTTGGCGGTGTTGATGGCGACAGTAGTGATACTGACGGTGGTGGTGTTGATGATGGTAGCAGTGTTGGCGGTGTTGATGGCGACAGTAGTGATACTGACGGTGGTGGCGTTGATGATGGTAGCAGTGTTGGCGGTGTTGATGGCGACAGTAGTGATACTGACGGTGGTGGTATTGAGGATGATGGTAGCAGTGTTGGCGGTGTTGATGGCGACAGTAGTGATACTGACGGTGGTGGTATTGAGGATGATGGTAGCAGTGTTGGCGGTGTTGATGGCGACAGTAGTAATACTGACGGTGGTGGTATTGAGGATGATGGTAGCGGTGTTGACGGTGTTGATGGCGACAGTAGTGATACTGACGGTGGTGGTGTTGATGATGGTAGCAGTGTTGGCGGTGTTGATGGCGACAGTAGTGATACTGACGGTGGTGGTATTGAGGATGATGGTAGCAGTGTTGGCGGTGTTGATGGCGACAGTAGTGATACTGACGGTGGTGGTATTGATGATGGTAGCGGTGTTGGCGGTGTTGATGGCGACAGTAGTGATACTGACGGTGGTGGTGTTGATGATGGTAGCAGTGTTGGCGGTGTTGATGGGGACAGTAGTGATATTGATGGTGGTGGTATTGAGGATGATGGTAGCAGTGTTGGCGGTGTTGATGGCGACAGTAGTGATACTGACGGTGGTGGTGTTGAGGATGGTAGCAGTGTTGGCGGTGTTGATGGCGACAGTAGTGATATTGATGGTGGTGGTATTGATGGTAGCAGTGTTGGCGGTGTTGATGGCGACAGTAGTGATACTGACGGTGGTGGTATTGAGGATGATGGTAGCAGTGTTGGCGGTGTTGATGGCGAGAGTAGTGATACTGACAGTGGTGGTATTGAGGATGATGTTAGCGGTGTTGACGGTGAAGATGGCGACAGTAGTGATACTGACGGTGGTGGTATTGAGGATGATGGTAGCGGTGTTGACGGTGTTGATGGCGACAGTAGTGATACTGACGGTGGTGGTGTTGATGATGGTAGCAGTGTTGGCGGTGTTGATGGCGACAGTAGTGATACTGACGGTGGTGGCATTGAGGATGATGGTAGCAGTGTTGGCAGTGTTGATGGCGACAGTAGTGATACTGACGGTGGTGGTATTGAGGATGATGGTAGCAGTGTTGGCGGTGTTGATGGCGACAGTAGTGATACTGACGGTGGTGGCATTGAGGATGATGGTAGCAGTGTTGGCAGTGTTGATGGCGACAGTAGTGATACTGACGGTGGTGGTATTGAGGATGATGGTAGCAGTGTTGGCAGTGTTGATGGCGACAGTAGTGATACTGACAGTGGTGGTATTGAGGATGATGGTAGCAGTGTTGGCGGTGTTGATGGCGACAGTAGTGATACTGACGGTGGTGGTATTGAGGATGATGTTAGCGGTGTTGACGGTGAAGATGGCGACAGTAGTGATACTGACGGTGGTGGTATTGAGGATGATGGTAGCGGTGTTGACGGTGTTGATGGCGACAGTAGTGATACTGACGGTGGTGGTGTTGATGATGGTAGCAGTGTTGGCGGTGTCGATGGCGACAGTAGTGATACTGACGGTGGTGGTATTGAGGATGATGGTAGCAGTGTTGGCGGTGTTGATGGCGACAGTAGTGATACTGACAGTGGTGGTAATGAGGATGATGGTAGCAGTGTTGGCGGTGTTGATGGCGACAGTAGTGATACTGACGGTGGTGGTATTGAGGATGATGTTAGCGGTGTTGACGGTGGTATTGATGACTGATGGTGGTAGCAGGGACCAGAGGCAGGATCAGTGTTGGTAAAATACATTTCACAAACTTAGCAGACAAGACGTTTTTTCCCATAATATTTTCTCTGCATTGTCCCCGCCCCCCCTGCCCGTGTATTGGTTCTCCGTGCGAGTCTATGGGTCTCTCCGTGTGTGTGTGTATGGAGAGAGAGAGAGAAGAGATAGCGGAGCCATTGCCCAAAGTGCAGCCTGTCTAACGAAAATAAATAACAAAGCAATTGTTAAACTGACGCTCGATTGAAATGTGATACTAAATTTCGATTTAAAGCTTTCGTGACTGCAAGGATTCATCTTCTTTGGTTCTTTTGGTAAAGTCACCACCACGTAGAATGAGAATAAAATAACAAATTGATAAAATAAATCAATTTATTATTTTATTCTCATTCTACGTGACTTTACCGAAAGAACCAAAGAAGATGTGATACCAAGTCGCTACAACCGAGGTGGCGGCGGCGGCGGCCCTGTGGGTCTCCGTGTAACTCGTCGGTTATCGGGCCAACACCGTCAACTACCCTCCGTCACCAGAGAACCCGCTTTGATCGCGGGCGTGTCCGACACCTGGGCTCGGAACCCAGGGTCGGGGGGGGCGTCCGGGGCCCTCCGTGCCACCCAGGCCAAGGGGGGCACAGGCTCCTCACCTTGACCGAGTCGCTGTCGGCCATCTCCACCTCGTCACCGGATGGCCCTTGCGCCGCAGAGTCCTACGGGCACGGAGGGGCAGAACCGCGCGGTGAGACCGCGTCTCGATGCCTCGCTGGCCGCTGCCCATCTCGGCAAGGAGAGCAATTCGACCGTGAGCGGGCAAACCTCCGGTCGGCGTTGGCAGCGGCAGCGGACTTTTGGTTGCTCGCCGGACAAAGGCGGTGGTCGCCGCGTGGCACTTTAGGACCGCGTCGCTTTCTGCGGCCATCTGGGACGCTCTTCCGATTAAATCGTCTACGCTGGCAAAACTCGTTTCTTCATAAGCGTTTGTGCTCATTCCGTTGGTTTTTTCACACCTGACGATGACCCCGCTTGTGTTGCAGTCGAAACGTCGTGAGAATTTTATCGTTTTATAGATATATTTTATTGTTTTATTGCTTCCCTTCTACGTGGTGACTTTACCGAAAGAACCAAGAATATGAATCGCCGCAGTCACGAAAGCTTTAAATAAAAATTTAACCGTTTGTGCGTTAAGTTTGTCGTCCTTCCCCCGCACCTCCGACTAGTCACGGTTGGCTACGTACGGCGGTGCCAAAGAAGTTCACCGTACACACACACACACACAGACACGCGCAAGACATGCGCGTTACCATCGTCATATTCTTGGTTCTTTCGGTGAAGTCACGTTGAAGGGAAACAATAAAATAATAAAGAGTATATAAAACAATAAAATTCTCACGACGTTTCGACCGTAACGCAAGTGGTCATCATCAGGTGTGAAAAAAACCAACGGCAAGAAACATTTGAAAGAAGCGGCGGTTTGTATTTATTTATTTGTAAACGTTGTTTGCATTTATTTATTTTTAAACGTTAGTGCCACGGATAGCGATTTGACAGTTTGTTTAGAAGGACGAGTCCATCTATGTTCGGAAAAGAGGAGGGGGGGGGAGACGAAAATTGAATGTATGCTGTCTGAAAGCCACCGTAAGCGTGAACAATCAATTAAGACCCGAAGGTGGTTTATCAAATCCTTCCAATGATTGCTAAGCCAGAATCCATCTTCCCGGATGGATTCCTCAACGTGACTTTACCGAAAGAACCAAGAATATGAATCGCTGCAGTCACGAAAGCTTTAAATCAAAAGTTACCATCGTCGTTATTAATTCGGTAAGATTCCACTCTCGGTAACCCTGGAAGCCTCAACGGAGGCTTTAACCGAAACCGAATTCGGAGCTGAACCGAATTCCAGGGGGTCCTATTGCTCGCGAGCACGCGCGGCGAAACGTCGGACATCGTGTCCGATCACAGCGGCATCGCCGCAGCACCCAATTACAGCGAAACCTGGCATTGCGAGCATAATTCGTTCGGGAAACGTGTTTTGGGATCCAAAGCACTCGTGTATCAGTTGTGATCACGTGACGCTCAGCAGTACAAAGCGTAGACACGTACGACTAAACTTCATCGGCTGTTGTAAATATACAAATATACAACAGCCGAGGACGTTTAGAATCAGAACACATTTCGATTTAAAGCTTTCGTGACTGCAGGGATTCATATTCTTGGTTCTTTCGGTAAAGTCACCACCACGTAGAAGGGAAACAATAAAATAATAAAAATATAAAACAATTAAATTCGCACGACGTTTCGACTGCAACACCAAGCAATCATCATCAGGTGTGAAAACCACGGCAATACGAGTAGCAGCGTACGTGTCTACGCTTTGTACTGCCGAGCATCACGTGATCACAACTGATACACAGAGTGCGTTGGATCACAAACACGTTTCCCGAACGAATTATGCTCGCAATGCCAGGTTTCACTGTACTCATCTGTACCCGAGGAGCTACAGAGCTCACGTTCAGAGATGTCCAGTAGGCGACACTGGGTGAGAACAGCCAAGAGTCAACGTCGCCCAGCACGCACCGCTCACACGCTGGCACGCACCACTCACACACACACGCACCGCTCACGCACCGCTCACTCACACACACACGCACCGTGCACGCTCGCACGCACCGCTCGCTCGCGCACCGCTCGCTCACACACGCACCGCGCACGCACCGCTCACACACACACGCACCGCTCGCTCACACACGCACCGCTCACACACACACACACACGCACCGCTCACTCACTCACACACACGCACCGCTCACTCACTCACACACACGCACCGCTCACTCACTCACACACACGCACCGCTCACTCACTCACACACACGCACCGCTCACTCACTCACACACACGCACCGCTCACTCACTCACACACACGCACCGCTCACTCACTCACACACACGCACCGCTCACTCACTCACACACACGCACCGCTCACTCACTCACACACACGCACCGCTCACTCACTCACACACACGCACCGCTCACTCACTCACACACACGCACCGCTCACTCACTCACACACACGCACCGCTCACTCACTCACACACACGCACCGCTCACTCACTCACACACACGCACCGCTCACTCACTCACACACACGCACCGCTCACTCACTCACACACACGCACCGCTCACTCACTCACACACACGCACCGCTCACTCACTCACACACACGCACCGCTCACTCACTCACACACACGCACCGCTCACTCACTCACACACACGCACCGCTCACTCACTCACACACACGCACCGCTCACTCACTCACACACACGCACCGCTCACTCACTCACACACACGCACCGCTCACTCACTCACACACACGCACCGCTCACTCACTCACACACGCACCGCTCACACACACTCGCACCGTGCACGCTCGCACGCACCGCTCACACGGCTCGCGTTTTCCCTTCGCACCGTGGACGCCGACGCCGCCGCCGCCGCCGCCGGCGTCGGCGCGGCCGGCGACGGCGGCGGCCGCGACGACGGAGTCGGAGCGTCGGGGCGGCGCCGCACGTGCTGCAGGACCACGTGCTCCCCGCCGGGCGGGAGCAGCGCCATGATGGCGCGGAGCCGCGACTCCATCATGGCGGCGATCCACACCATCATCGTGGAGTTGACGTCCGCCGACAGGTGGCCCTGCTGGAGGGGGGGGGGGGAGGGGCAACAAAGGCGGCCCCCCGGGGGGAGGGGCGGCGGACTGAGAACCGCCGTGCAGCCCGCCGGCTCCAAGAGGCGAGATTCCACACGCCGCTCACTCCTCTCTCACGCCGCTCACTCCTCTCTCACGCCGCTCACTCCTCTCTCACGCCGCTCACTCCTCTCTCACGCCGCTCACTCCTCTCTCACGCCGCTCACTCCTCTCTCACGCCGCTCACTCCTCTCTCACGCCGCTCACTCCTCTCTCACGCCGCTCACTCCTCTCTCACGCCGCTCACTCCTCTCTCACGCCGCTCACTCCTCTCTCACGCCGCTCACTCCTCTCTCACGCCGCTCACTCCTCTCTCACGCCGCTCACTCCTCTCTCACGCCGCTCACTCCTCTCTCACGCCGCTCACTCCTCTCTCACGCCGCTCACTCCTCTCTCACGCCGCTCACTCCTCTCACGCCGCTCACTCCTCTCACTCCTCTCACTCCTCTCACGCCGCTCACTCCTCTCACTCCTCTCACTCCTCTCACGCCGCTCACTCCTCTCTCACTCCTCTCACGCCACTCACTCCTCTCACGCCGCTCACTCCTCTCACTCCTCTCACTCCTCTCACTCCTCTCTCACGCCGCTCACTCCTCTCACGCCGCTCACTCCTCTCACGCCGCTCACTCCTCTCACGCCGCTCACTCCTCTCACGCCGCTCACTCCTCTCACGCCGCTCACTCCTCTCTCACGCCGCTCACTCCTCTCTCACGCCGCTCACTCCTCTCACTCCTCTCACGCCGCTCACTCCTCTCACTCCTCTCACTCCTCTCACTCCTCTCACTCCTCTCACGCCGCTCACTCCTCTCACTCCTCTCACTCCTCTCACGCCGCTCACTCCTCTCTCACTCCTCTCACGCCACTCACTCCTCTCACGCCGCTCACTCCTCTCACGCCGCTCACTCCTCTCACTCCTCTCACTCCTCTCTCACGCCGCTCACTCCTCTCACGCCGCTCACTCCTCTCACGCCGCTCACTCCTCTCACGCCGCTCACTCCTCTCACGCCGCTCACTCCTCTCACGCCGCTCACTCCTCTCTCACGCCGCTCACTCCTCTCTCACGCCGCTCACTCCTCTCACTCCTCTCACTCCTCTCACTCCTCTCTCACGCCGCTCACTCCTCTCACGCCGCTCACTCCTCTCACGCCGCTCACTCCTCTCTCACGCCGCTCACTCCTCTCACGCCGCTCACTCCTCTCACGCCGCTCACTCCTCTCACGCCGCTCACTCCTCTCACGCCGCTCACTCCTCTCACGCCGCTCACTCCTCTCCCGCCTCTCCCCTCCCGTCACTACAAACTAAACTACTAAACTAGTTTTGCTTTAGCAGGTAAGGCCAGAAGAGAACCGGCCACACCAACCTTATTCACTACCACCACCACCCTCCTCCGCCACCACCACTACCACCACCCTCCTTCGCCACTACCACCACCACCACCACCACCACCCTCCTTCGCCACTAACACCACCACCACCCTCCTTCGCCACTAACACCACCACCACCACCACCCTCCTTCGCCACTACCACCACCACCACCCTCCTTCGCCACTACCACCACCACCACCCTCCTTCGCCACTAACACCACCACCACCCTCCTTCGCCACCACCACCACCACCACCAACCTCCTTCGCCACTAACACCACCACCACCCTCCTTCGCCACTACCACCACCACCACCACCCTCCTTCGCCACTACCACCACCACCACCACCACCCTCCTCCGCCACTAACACCGCCACCACCCTCCTTCGCCACTACCACCACCACCACCCTCCTCCTCCATTACTACCACCACCACCCTCCTTCGCCACTACCACCACCACCACCACCACCACCCTCCTTCGCCACTACCACCACCACCCTCCTCCGCCACTAACACCACCACCACCCTCCTTCGCCACTACCACCACCCTCCTTCGCCACTACCACCACCACCACCACCACCCTCCGCCACTAACACCACCACCACCACCACCACCCTCCTCCGCCACTAACACCACCACCCTCCTTCGCCACTACTACCACCACCACCCTCCTCCGCCACTAACACCACCACCACCACCCTCCTTCGCCACTACCACCACCACCACCACCCTCCGCCACTAACACCACCACCACCACCACCCTCCTCCGCCACTAACACCACCACCCTCCTTCGCCACTACTACCACCACCACCACCATCACCTCCAGCGGCTACCTCCCTCGTGTCTTGGTTTCAGAACTTGCGCGCATTTCCATCTCCCGTCCATCGCAAAAATCGGTTTTCGAACGGACGAACGCCCACGCGGTGACCACCCGGCAACCACAGAGCCCCAGCTTCTTACAACGCGGCTGTTGATGACGGCGATGAGGGCGTCATCCCCGTCGCGCAAGCAGTGCCGGTTGAGCGCCAGCCACTCGAACAGCGCCCCGTTACACAGCACCAGCAGCTGGCGCGCAAACTCCGCGTCGCTGTCTGAGGGTGGGGACGGCAGGAGTAGAACACACAAACTCCACTCACTCACTCTGTAGAACAGGAGTAAAACACACAAACTCCACTCACTCTGTAGAACAGGGCTAGAACACACAAACTCCACTCACACTCACTCTGTAGAACAGGGCTAGAACACACAAACTCCACTCACTCACTCTGTAGAACAGGGGTAGAACACACAAACTCCACTCACTCACTCTGTAGAACAGGGCTAGAACACACAAACTCCACTCACTCACTCTGTAGAACAGGAGTAGAACACACAAACTCCACTCACTCACTCTGTAGAACAGGGCTAGAACACACAAACTCCACTCACTCACTCTGTAGAACAGGAGTAGAACACACAAACTCCACTCACTCACTGTAGAACAGGGCTAGAACACACAAACTCCACTCACTCTGTAGAACAGGAGTAGAACACACAAACTCCACTCACTCACTCTGTAGAACAGGAGTAGAACACAAAAAACTCCACTCACTCTGTAGAACAGGGGTAGAACACACAAACTCCACTCACTCACTCTGTAGAACAGGGCTAGAACACACAAACTCCACTCACTCACTCTGTAGAACAGGGGTAGAACACACAAACTCCACTCACTCACTCTGTAGAACAGGGCTAGAACACACAAACTCCACTCACTCACTCTGTAGAACAGGGCTAGAACACACAAACTCCACTCACTCACTCTGTAGAACAGGAGTAGAACACACAAACTCCACTCACTCACTCTGTAGAACAGGGCTAGAACACACAAACTCCACTCACTCACTCTGTAGAACAGGGCTAGAACACACAAACTCCACTCACTCACTCTGTAGAACAGTAGAACACACAAACTCCACTCACTCACTGTGTAGAACAGGGGTAGAACACACAAACTCCACTCACTCACTCTGTAGAACAGGGCTAGAACACACAAACTCCACTCACTCACTCTGTAGAACAGGGCTAGAACACACAAACTCCACTCACTCACTCTGTAGAACAGGGCTAGAACACACAAACTCCACTCACTCACTCTGTAGAACAGTAGAACACACAAACTCCACTCACTCACTCTGTAGAACATGGCTAGAACACACAAACTCCACTCACTCACTCTGTAGAACAGGGCTAGAACACACAAACCTTCACACAGAGAAAGAGCGAAAGACGCTGGACCCGAGCCAGGAGTCGAACCCAGGCGGTAGCGTCGCTCGCGCGAGCGCGCCGTGCCCATGGGCGCTCTTACCCGCGTTGCACAGAATGTAGGTCGCCAGGCGGTTTATCCTCTCACGGACGAAGCACAGATTCGTCTGCAGGATGTCCACCCCATTGCGCACAGCAACGGACGCCTAGCACACAACAACAACCACGACAACTCCCGTTGACACGCCGGCCTTCGCAACAAATGCAGCGGTCATTCTTCTTTTTGCACGGCCAACCTCCACGCAGGCAGGAGCAGCGACTGCAAATTGTGGCAGTCAGGTGGTCGAGCCCGCAGGCGACCACGTCGGCCAGGGGCGTGCATCGCCGTGACCATTAAAGCATTAGAGATTCACACAGACCCAGGACCCATAGGCGAACCTCAACTATTTTTTACTTCACCAGGTAAGGCCCCACACGGAGCTGTGTAGCTTTGTTTCTGAAGCCCTGGCCGTCACAAACGATAGCAGCTCAACAAAGTGGCCAAGGATTAAACAAAAAAAACGCAGGACCCCAGACACAAATCCACAGGACCGCGGAGAGAGAGGCACGCAAACTCCAAATATACAGCAGCTCGAGGATCCTATACACCGGGCGAGGTTAGCGTCAATGTCTCCCAGCCACCATGGTAAATTGAATGGAACTGGGTGGGCAGGTGGAACTCAGGTGGGCAGGTGCAGAGAGGACCAATGTGCAGTCACAACAGTCTGGTGGTGGGGGCTCGGAGGTCTTGTGGAACGGGGGACACGGCGAGGCGTCCGCGGGTCCACGAACCTCGACGCTGAACCGCTGGACTGGCAATTAACATTGTCACACTGAATTAATGAACGGGCGAGCGAGCGAGCGAATTAACGAGCGGATGAATACTCACAAAGCTCTCCCGCACGTACTGCTCCATGAAATCTACCAACTGCTCCGTTGAGGCCTGGGGGGGGAGTTAATAAACAAAATAAAAATACCATCATCATCGTCATCGCACGAGCGCTACTGTTATTGGTGGGGTGGGCGGCGAGGGGGGGGGGGTGGCGGCACTGACGGCGATGTTGGGCTCGGTGGGCTCGCCGTCGTGCAGGAAGTGCTGGCGACAGAACGCCGTGAGCTGGGGCCTCAGACGCTGCAGGGGCTGCGACTGTCCGTGCAGCAGCATCACCACGTCAGTCATGGACAGGGACTCGCAGACGAGGGTCAGCAGCTCGCTGAAGAACACTGCCCCCTCGCGCACGCACACACACACACAGACACACACACACAGACACACACACCGTGGGCGTACAGCCACTCGCTCGCTCGCCACCACGTCCGTCACGGACAGGGGGGAAACGCAGATCAGGGTCGGGAAGCCCTCACGCACACACGGGTTACACACGCACAGTGGGTAATACAGCCACCTCCGCTCGCTCGCATGCACGCACGCACGCGCGCGCGGGATTTTCGCCGGGTAAATTCGTTTGCTGCGAGTCTGATCACCGATTGAATGGTGCCGGTCAGACGTCCCGATGCAGTGCCACGGAGCCTCGAGGCGAGCGTTGTCCACGCCCCTCGCTAGCAGGCGGAGCTCCCCCCCCCCCACCCACCCCCCCCCGTTTCCCACCCCACGCGTAAAACAACTCGCGAGCCGGGGAGTTGGTCAAGGAGGATCAAGCCACCCAAGCGTACAGGGCCACTGTGCCTCGAGGCTAATCGTCGTCGGCGGCGGCGGCGCCGCCTTCCCGCTCGTCCACCTGCGCTTTCCCGTGGGCCCCCACGCCACGCCACTCCACCCCCCGCCTACCGTCACCGGTCTCGGACACGCTGGGCGTGCCGCTGAGGCGCTGGATGAAGCTGGCGATGCTCTCCTGGCTCTCCGAACCACTGGCGCCGCCCAGCGACGTGAGCACGCTGTCCAGCACGCCCTGCACCACGCTGCTGAAGAAGTCCGGCGTCAGCGCCTCCTCCGCTGGCGCCTGCTGCGCTCCTGCCGGCGAGGAGCCGGCTGTCGTTCCCGCTTGCGCCTGCTGCTGCTGCTGCTGCTGCTGCGGCGTCGATGGAGGTTGCTGCGATTGCGCTGGTGTCGCCTGCTGCTGCTGCTGCTGCTGCTGCTGGCCCAAGACCGCTGCAGCCTGTGTAGGGAGCAGACGAATTTTAACGCTCGTCAAGAGTCAAAAAGGGCCCTCGTAAGTCAGAGTCACGGCCTGGCTCCGCGCTCGGCTCTGGCTGGAGCTGAGCTGGGCTCAGCCGAGGCGTGCTCCCAGCCGTGGCGAAGGAATTACCCAATCAGCACAGCCGAGCCATAGACTCGGAGGCCCACAGGCCCGTCGCACACACACACCCATAGGCTCACAGAGAGCACCATAGATTCACACACAGTGCACCTTCGATTATCACGGTTAGCTACGTAGGGTACGAAAGAAGTTCAAAGTCACACAAGGCCCCGTAGGCTCGCTCAGAGCCCGGTAGACACACACAGATACCCCACAGACTCGCACAGAGATCCTTACGACTCGCCAAAGTCCGCAGAGACACAAACGCACGGTCTACTCGACAAGAGCAGTCACACACGAGCAGCACAACGGACCGAGTTATTAAATGTTGGTGTGGGGGCGGGTTTGTTGTTGATAATGGTGATGCTGACGATAATGACGGCGATGACAAGGGAGCCAGTGATGATGGTGGTGGTGGCGACAACGGCGGTGACGATGGCAATGGTGGCGACGGTAATGATCGTGATAAACGGGCGCGGCACGGGCTAGAGAAGAGACGGAGTGACGCGGTACAGGAGGACGTGGAGCCGAGGGGACCTGACAAAGGCCGCTACCGGCGGTGTCTCCACCGCCGCCACCGCCGCCACACCCACCTGCATGAACTCCGCCAGCCCCCGGAAGAAGACTGACTGCGGAGCGCCCTGCGGGTGCTGGAACGTCACATTGGTGCCCGGCGCCACGCCAACAACGCCGGCTGCCGCCGCCGCCGCCGCCGCCGCCGCTGCCGCAGGCGCCGCCGCCGCCCCTGGCGGCGGCGCCGGCGCCGGCGCCGGCGGCGGCGGCGCCGCGCCTGCCACCAGAGTCCGCATCAGCTGCACCAGCTGCACCTGGTTCATCTGCCCGCTGCCGAATGAGGGATCGCCGGAACTGGTGCTGAAGGTGGTGCTGTAGGTGGCGGAGGAGGAGGTGGACGAGGAGGTGGACGAGGTGGAGAACGACGACGATGACGAGGTGCCGGCGCCGGTGCCCCCGGCGGCCCCGCCGCCGATGAGGAAGGCGGTCGGTCCGGGGAAGGCGGACGAGGTGGTGACCGTGGCAGCGGTGCCGCCTGGCGCTGCATGCAAATAAAAAAAGCCGGGAGGCCGTGGGGGTGGGGGTTTGTGGCGGTGTTAGGAGGTGGCAGTGATAGCGATGGCGATTACGATTGGAGGGGGTGGGAGGGGTGGCGATGGCACCACCGGGTGGACGGTGGCGCTTCCACGCCAACGCCGAGGTTCGAATCTGGCAGGCCCCAAGCCCCTGGTTAATTACTTCGGTTGTTGTTGTTGCTGTTGACGATGACCGACGAAACAAAAATCCTTTTTATTATTTTGTCGCATTCAATATCTCGATACGGCCATAGATGTTATAAGCCTGCTTACAACCACCAGTGCGCTATCAATGCTTCGGGCGTTTGCTTTGTACCTCGTTACCGTTGACATTTTTGGCGGCCTTTGGTTCGCCCATGAAGAGGGCTGGAGGCGCCAATGACACCATCCAGGACAAGCGCGTACACCATCAAACAAAGCACGTCACGTGCGTATCTACGCGTGTATAACTTCTTTCGCAGCACCGACCGCACTAATCGGAAGAGGTGCGGGGGGAAGCACAACAAACTAAAACACAAAAAGCACTTCCAGTGGAAACGAGTTTGTCAATCTCACATCGGAAGAGTATCCCAGATGGCCACAGGAGCAGCGCATCGGAAAGCGACGCGCGATGATGCGGTTGACCACCAACCTCTGTTCAGCGGCCAGCAAAAAAGTCGCCGCGAGGATGACCGGCGTTTGCGCGATGGGTTTGTGGCACATTGACGAGATCAGCGAGGTGTCGGGGCTCATGCGTGACGAGCACTTTGCGCGTCTGGTGCGAGCTTACAGCGTGCCCTCGCTCGGCGAACGGAAGCCGGCTCGGCGAGCAACGGACGGACACTGTGGGATCGTGCGGTACGCACCCGTCACGGCACGCAGCCGGGGAACGTTGTACAACACGGGCGGCTTGCTCACTGTTTTTTGCCAGACGTCCCGTAGAGCAAGCGGGTCACGACAATCGAAACTTTGTCCACACGTGCCACCACTGTGTTGTCACCGGCTCGACAGTGGCCGAGACCCGAGGGAGGTATCCGCGGTTCATGTGGCGAGCGCTTCGTGCGTGCCACGGAGCGCGCGACCAGGCAACAAATTGGTTTGAGGCGAACACTGGATGGAACACGGTCCGATCTCGCCAACACGAGGTCAAGATCGCAATAAGGCGCGGCAAGCGGCGGCGACGGCAGCAGCGTGACAACCAATCGTTACCGGTGGAGGCCGCCGCGGCGGGAGCGGCCGCGCCCCCGTTTGCGGCGGCCGCGGCCGGGTTCACCGTCAGCAGCTGCCCGACGAGGTTGCCGATGACCTGGGCCAGGGAGCCGTTGGCGGGAATGGCGCCCTGCGTGCACACAGCACGAACCGTCGGCTCGCCTCGCTCGTTCACGCACACGCTCGCGCTCACTCACTCTACAGCAGGGCGAGATCATACAAACTCCACTCTTACACGTTCACGGGACTATTTTTATTTTAGCGGGTCAGGCCCGCCGGGAGGCACAGCTCTTTTCAGAAGCGACTTCGCCACGAATGGTGGGCTCGCAATAAGAACGTGAAAAAATGCATAGAAACCAAGAATTCTAAATGCACGTCGATCCTCAATGTGGAGCGGAAACAAATCGGACGACCCAGAAGCAAATCCATCATCAGGGTCGGGGATCGAACCCACGACCTCCTGCACACCAGGCGAAGGAATCAACATCTCCTAGCCACCGCGGCACTCCGAGTGCGTACCGGCTGCAAGCTGCCCTGCTGCTGCTGCTGCTGCTGCTGCTGCGTGTGCAGCGGCAGGGGAGCACAGTGCCTGGCAGGGCCGGGGGGGCGCGCCGTGGGCGGGGGGCCACGAACAACGAGCACGCGAGGGGGCCGCACCTGGAACACCGGTCTCATCTGGCCTGCACGCTCGCACCACCACCACAACAACATCAACAACAACAACAACATCAACAACGACAACAACAAGGCCACGGGCACAACAACAATTATTACAACGAAGACGACGACGACGACAACGCCACGGGCACATCAACGATGACAAAGGCACAGGAACATCAACAACAACAACTACGATGAAGGACAACGCCACGGGCGCATCAACAACAACAATACCACAGGGACATCAACAACAACATCGATGACGATGTCACAGGGCCATCAACAACAACAACAACGTCACAGGGACATCAACAACAACAACACCACAGGACATCAACAACATCAACAACGACGACAATGTCACAGGGACATCAACAACAACAATGTCACAGGGACATCAACATCATCAACAACAACAACACAGGGACAATCAACAACAACATCAACAACGACAATGTCACAGGGACATCAACAACAACGACAATGTCACAAGGGACACCAACAACATCAACAACGATGACAATGTCAGAGGGACATCAACAACAACATTAACAACGACAATGTCACAGGGACATCAACAACATCATCGACAACAATGACAATGTCACAGGGACATCAACAACCACGATGACAATGTCACAGGGACATCAACAACAACATCAACACCACAGGGACATCAACAACAACATCAACAACAATACCACAGGGACATCAACAACAACATCAACGACAATGTCACAGGGACATCAACAACAACATTAACAACGACAATGTCACAGGGACATCAACAACATCATCGACAACAATGACAATGTCACAGGGACATCAACAACCACGATGACAATGTCACAGGGACATCAACAACAACATCAACACCACAGGGACATCAACAACAACATCAACAACAATACCACAGGGACATCAACAACAACATCAACGACAATGTCACAGGGACATCAACAACAACATCAACAACGACAATGTCACAGGGACATCAACAACAACATCAACAACGACAATGTCACAGGGACAACAACATCAACAACAACAATGTCACAGGGACATCAACATCAACAACGACAATGTCACAGGGACATCAACAACAACATCAACAACGACAATGTCACAGGGACATCAACAACATCAACAACGACGACAATGTCAGAGGGACATCAACAACAACATCAACAACGACAATGTCACAGGGACAACATCAACAACGACAATGTCACAGGGACAACATCAACAACGACAATGTCACAGGGACAACAACATCAACAACGACAATGTCACAGGGACAACAACATCAACAACGACGACAATGTCAGAGGGACATCAACAACAACATCAACGACAATGTCACAGGGACATCAACAACATCAACAACGACGACAATGTCAGAGGGACATCAACAACATTAACAACGACAATGTCACACGGACATCAACAACAACAACACCACAGGGACATCAACAACAACATCAACAACAACACCACAGGGACATCAACAACACCACAGGGACATCAACAACAACAACATCAACGACAATGTCACAGGGACATCAACAACAACATCAACAACCACGACGACAAAGACGACATCAATAACATCAACACTGGCAGCAGCAGCAGCAGCTGTGGCAACAAACAGCCACCCACAACCCCTTTTCCACTGGCACAAGCGAGCCGAGCCGGCGCTTGGTACCTGCCGCGGGTCATCAGAACGGAATCGCAGGAGAAGGAAAAAAAACTGCGAACAAAAACAACTTTCACCGGTTCGTCCTCAGGGTCGGAAGAAGACGTACAGCCGTGGGGGGGGTGTCCCACAAGCCCACGCGGCAGGGAGCGTTACAATTTGTTTACCTCTCCTGCACTTTGCACTCCTATCGTGTTTTTTTTGTACTGTGCTCGTTGTTGTAAGCTTCCGACCCAGTGCCCCCTACTGGACAAGAGCTTTATAGCTCGTCAGATTCCCCCTGCAGCGCAAATACAATCTTCTGATTCTGTGGCACAGCGTTGGTGCCGGCTACCGTGGAGTGGCAGCGGTCGTCACCGCTACGGTTCTCGGCGGCCGAGTAACGACGTCTCCGTGATCCGGCGCTACTACCACGCCTCTCTCCCCGTGAAAATGTAACGGGGGTGAACTGCTCGCGCGCAGCGACTCGCCAGACGTCTCGACCACGTCAACACACGTGCTCAGCTGGGGTCTCTTTATGGACACTGTGTTGGGATCATTGCGTGCACCAACCCACAAATCCATGATTCTCTTAGCAACTCAAAGAGCAGTATCGCAAATGACAGCCCGATGAAGTTGTGGCTTATTACGCGGAAAATTATACCAGTCAAATAACTCCACATGCGTGTTCCTAAATGTGGAGGGCAAAATGGAAGGATCCGGAGGGAAAAAAAATCCACGTGACTACGGGGAGAGAGAGAGAGAGACACGCAAACTCCAAATTTTAAGGCAGGCTCCAGGGATCAAACCCACGACCTCCTGTATACCAGGCGAGGTAGTTAACATCTCCTAACCACCGTGGCGCCAAACTCTGTAGCCGTGGCAACGCCGCTACCACCAAGGGCAAGGAGAGTCAAGGATGCAATGCATGGGGGACGATGAACAGGAGGGAAGAGAGGGAAAGGATGGGAAGGGGGAAACGGGAGCAGAGGAGTCAGGGAGGAGGCGAGGAAGAGGCTACATGATGGGGGTCTCGACGCTGCTGCATGGAGTAGAGTCTGTTTTCACAGTGAGCGGGCAGTGTGGAGCGGGGAGGGTGTTCAGAGTGTGGGGGGGGTGGTCACACAGGAATCACGTGGTTTAATGGGAGGCTTGAGCCGAGTTAGATGGAGAGAGATGGGGCTCCATGAGAGTGGGGGGTGGTCAAACAAGAGTCACGTAGTTTACTGGAGGCTCCAGCTGTTTCACATAGAGACAAAGATCCCCCCCCTTATAGCCTCAACTTACTGTTTGGGGGGGGGGGTCAAGTGCTGTTAGCGAGCAGCAGCGCCTACGGCGGCTGGCACGGCGCACGAGAGGGGCGGGGTGGCCAGCACCAACGCACGCCCCGGCCACCTTTGTCTCCCCTCGTGACGTTGTTTTACACACCGCACGGGTACTCATTTCAGGCCGAGTCGACCTAGGGGAGGAGGCCCACCGGAACCGGTTGTTCAGATGATTCGCTATCATCGGTGTCCGTGCTGGTGCTTGCCTCGGGTGCACCTTGCATGCACACGAGTCAGTGTACCCTGCCCTGTGCTGTGTTACCCCCTGTGCTGTGTTACCTCCTGTGCCGTGTTACCCCCTGTGCCGTGTTACCCCCTGTGCCGTGTTACCCCCTGTGCTGTGTGTTACCCCCTGTGCTGTGTGTTACCCCCTGTGCTGTGTGTTACCCCCTGTGCTGTGTGTTACCCCCTGTGCTGTGTTACCCCCTGTGCTGTGTTACCCCTGTGCTGTGTTACCCCTGTGCTGTGTTACCCCCTGTGCTGTGTTACCCCCTGTGCTGTGTTACCCCCTGTGCTGTGTGTTACCCCCTGTGCTGTGTCACCTCCTGTGCTGTGTTACCCCCTGTGCTGTGTTACCCCCTGTGCTGTGTTACCCCCCTGTGCTGTGTTACCCCGTGTGCTGTGTTACCCCCTGTGCTGTGTTACCCCCTGTGCTGTGTTACCTCCTGTGCTGTGTTACCCCCTGTGCTGTGTGTTACCTCCTGTGCTGTGTTACCCCCTGTGCTGTGTTACCCCCTGTGCTGTGTTACCCCCTGTGCTGTGTTACCCCCTGTGCTGTGTTACCCCCTGTGCTGTGTTACCCCTGTGCTGTGTTACCCCCTGTGCTGTGTTACCCCCTGTGCTGTGTTACCCCCTGTGCTGTGTTACCCCCTGTGCTGTGTTACCCCCTGTGCTGTGTTAGCCGCTGTGCTGTGTTACCCCCCTGTGCTGTGTTACCCCCCCTGTGCTGTGTTACCCCCTGTGCTGTGTTACCCCCGGTGCTGTGTTACCCCCTGTGCTGTGTTACCCCCTGTGCTGTGTTAGCCGCTGTGCTGTGTTACCCCCCTGTGCTGTGTTACCCCCTGTGCTGTGTTACCCCCTGTGCTGTGTTACCCCCCTGTGCTGTGTTACCCCCCCTGTGCTGTGTTACCCCCTGTGCTGTGTTACCCCCTGTGCTGTGTTACCTCCTGTGCTGTGTTACCCCTGTGCTGTGTTACCCCCTGTGCTGTGTTACCCCCTGTGCTGTGTTACCCCCTGTGCTGTGTTACCCCTGTGCTGTGTTACCCCCTGTGCTGTGTTACCCCCTGTGCTGTGTTACCCCCTGTGCTGTGTTACCTCCTGTGCTGTGTGTTACCTCCTGTGCCGCGTGTTAGCCCCCGTTCTGCCTGTGTGTACATCCGTTTGTTTGTGTGGGGAGCGGCGGTAGAAGGGTGTAGCCATTCACGTGTTGCAACTACGAACCCGGCGACCCAAGTTACATTCACGCTCACGGGCACCAACACCAGTAACGATTATCCAACCGCTCTTGGGCCTCCCTCCCACTCCCACCCCCCCACGAGGTCGACTCAGCAACATGCACCGAGAGTTAAATTAATTTTGCTGCTGTAAATTTCCACACGAGACGCTTTTTGGTGTGCTATCATTTGTGGCAGCCAGGCTGCTTCTGAAAAATAATACAGAGTAGCACCTTGGATTGCGAGTAACTTGGCCTGCGAGCGTTTTGGGTTAGATCTCGTTAACACAGTAAGACCTTGGATTGGAGTAACTTGGCCTGCGAGTCTTTTGCAAGACGAGCAAACATTTTAAATGAATATTAATTTGATAAACGAGCGAGAGGTCTTGCAGTACGAGTCTACGCTTTGTACTGCAGAGCGTCACGTGGTCACAACTGATACACGAGTGCTTTGGATTACAAAACACGTTTCCGGAAAGAATCATGCTCGCAATGCAAGGTTTCACTGTAATTACTTCGGTGGGCTTTGCCTGGTGGGATGGTGGATGGTTTAGTGTTGTATTTGGATGCATTTGGGAAAGTTGTTTTCCTTTCTTGCACTACGCACTACCATCGCGTTGGTGTGTAACGGTTGCTGTTGTAACGATTGCTGTTGTAACATTCAGAACCCGTGCCCCTACTGGACATCTGTGAAAAAAAGAGATTCATAGCCTATCTATTCCTCCTGCAGTGTAAATTATTCGGAACAATTCTGAAATGAGTACCGGTGTGTGGGCGTGTATTAAACATCGCCACTGGGGGAGACAAAGACGGCCGGACGTGGCGCTGGCAGCCCAACCTCCTCGTGTGCCACCATGCCGGCTGTCACAGGCGCTGCTACCCGCTCACGGCACTTGCCCCCAACATTCTGTTCAAGGCTATACGGGGGATCTCAGTCTTTGCGAGCGTGTGCAAGTGTGTGTACGTACGCGTGTGCGCACGTGTGCGTACGAGTGTGTACGTGTGTGTGTACACGTGTGTGTACGTGCGTGTGTGTGTAGGACACAGGCGGTGAATCGGCCATTCATCTCAGTCGGTCAGTCAAACCATGGCACCTGCCCGGTCTGTCCCGTGACGTCCTAGCCAGCGGGCATTCGAAACTTCACGTGGCCTTAAAGCGCACATAGCCCGGCACGGAAGCCGTGGCGACGTCACCGCCGCTTAGTGGCGAATGGCGGTTGTTGTTGTTGTTGTGGTGGTGCGGAGTGAACGAGTGTTCGGGCTGTCATAGGCGCTGCTACTCGCCAACGGCCCCGGCCCCCAACAGTCTGTTCGAGCCACACGGGGGACCTTTGTCCGTCTCTTCATGGCCGTGGGAGCGGGAATCGAACCCGGGTGCCCCCCCCACCCTCCTCCTCGGCCACGCTGGCCACTCACCGGCCGCGGTTGCCGCCGCCGCCATGGCCTGCTGGGTAATCTGCTGGATGATGGCCGGCATGAGCTCTGGCGGGATGCCCGGCATGTGCAGGTGGGGGATCCCTGGGGGGGGGGGGGGAAAGGGAGAGGGGGGGCGGCGCTCGCGTTACAGCCTCGCACGCCCACATCGTTACCGTAGTTACCGTAGTTACCGTCGTTACCGTCGTTACCATCGCTACCGTAGTTACCGTCGTTACCGTAGTTACCATCGTTACCGTAGTTAGTGCCGTTACCGTCAACGCCTCCGTTACCGTCATTACCGTCAGCACCTCCGTTACCGTCAGCACCTCCGTTACCGTCAGCACCTCCGTTACCGTCAGCACCTTCGTTACCGTCAGTGCCTCCGTCACCGTCATTACCATCAGCACCTCCGTTACCGTCACTACCTCCGTTACCATCAGCACCTCCGTTACCATCAGCACCTCCGTTACCATCAGCACCTCCGTTACCATCAGCACCTCCGTTACCATCAGCACCTCCGTTACTGTCACTACCTCCGTTACCGTCAGCGCCTCCATTACCGTCAGCACCTCCGTTACCGTCAGCGCCTCCGTTACCGTCATTACCATCAGCACCTCCGTTACCGTCAGCGTCTCTGTTACCCCCCCGCGATCCGCCCCACCCACCACGGTGCAGTCACCCCTCACTGACCCTGCGGGGTGCCGGCCGCGGCCGCCGCTGCCGCCGCCGCCGCCGCGGCCGCGGCCGCCCCCCCCCCCCGTTGCCGTGGTGGTGGTGGAGGTGGCGGTGGTGGGCTGGGTGGCCCCCACCTCCGTGGTGTACACGAAGATCACGTTGGGGGGCACGTTGCCACCCGCGCTTTGAGTCGTCGGCGTCTGCGTCGTGGACGTCGCGGCAAAGTTGCCGTTCATTCCTGAGGGGGGTGCGGGGGGTGCGGGGGGGGGGGGTGAGAGGGAGGGAGGGGGAGAGAGAGTGGAAGAGTGGAAGAAGAGTGGGGAGGGTGAATGGTACTCGTAACGTTTTTTTTGGGTTCGATTGAGTAATTGTAAATGTGCCGTAAAACCCCCCACACCTCCACCCGACACAGCCAATTAGGAGGGTGCTGCGGTGGCTAGGAGATGTTAACGACCTCGCCTGGTATACAGGAGGTCATGGTATCGATCCCGACCCCCTCACGCCTGCTGTATATTTGGAGTTTGCGGTGGTGTCTCATCATCACGGTGGCTAGGAGATGTTAACGACCTCGCCTGGTATACAGGAGGTCGTGGTATCGATCCCGACCCCCTGACGCCTGCTGTATATTTGGAGTTTGCGGTGGTGTCTCATCATCACGGTGGCTAGGAGATGTTAACGACCTCGCCTGGTATACAGGAGGTCATGGCATCGATCCCGACCCCCTGACGCCGGCTGTATATTTGGAGTTTGCGGTGGTGTCTCATCATCACGGTGGCTAGGAGATGTTAACGACCTCGCCTGGTATACAGGAGGTCATGGTATCGATCCCGACACCCTGACGCCTGCTGTATATTTGGAGTTTGCGGTGGTGTCTCATCATCACGGTGGCTAGGAAATGTTAACGACCTCGCTTGGTGTACAGGAGGTCATGGTATCGATCCCGACCCCCTGACGCCTGCTGTATATTTGGAGTTTGCGGTGGTGTCTCATCATCACGGTGGCTAGGAGATGTTAACGACCTCGCCTGGTGTACAGTTCGTGGGTTCGATCCCGACCCTGACGATGCCTGCCGCTGTACATTTGGAATGTGCGTCTCTTGCTCTCCCTGGTGGTGGTGGTCACGTGGATTTTTCCCCTCCACATTTAGACACAGCCTGCAGTCGTTTCACAGCACAATTTCTGCGGTGTGCTTCAGCCTAGGAGCACCTCCCCAGTGGCAGCTTTTTATTTTGGTTTTATTTTAATTAGGCAAGGCCCCCCCCAAGCTATACAGCTCTTTTTCACAGCGACCAGGCCACACGCGATGACAGCTCAACGGAGTGGCTTGTCGCGTGGAAATTTATAGCAGCAGCCAAAAAAATAATCTAAAACGCGCGGCGTACATTCTAAAACGTGGGAGCGGAAAAACGCGGAGGACCCGGAGAAAAATCCACGCGAGCATGCAAAGAGAAAGGCGCAAACTCAAAACGCACAGCCGTTCTTGGTCGGGGGTCGAACCCACGAGCTCTTGCATACCAGGCAAGATGGTTAACATCTCACAGCCACCGCGATTCATCCCCTGTGCATCAGTCCGCCGTCAGGGGGCGGCGATGGTTGCCGCACGCGCGATCCCAATCGGTGCGTGGGTCTGCGTTGCCACCGATTGAAATTGGCGAACGTGGACCGCGACGGCGATGGGCAATGCCCTCTTGCGTCACGGGGATCTCCAACGGCCGTCTTGGCATCCCGACGAATGACCCACGGCGAACGAAACCTCCGCATAGCACCGCTGGCCACGTGCGGTCGCGAAAGGGGTTCAAGAGACGCGTCCACAACGCAGCTGCGCGAATGATAGGGGAGCCAAGAGTTCCGAACGGGGATGTCCTCCCGACTCAAGAGGCGGACGGCACGACGGGGAACAACTTGGGGAAACGGACACACACACACACACCATGCACGCATTGTCGCTCAGCCTTCCACTCACTCACTCACTCACCCCCAACCCAACCACTCAAACGATCACCTCCACTCGCATGCACTTACCTCCACCATCCCACACAAAGACGACCCCCATATAGCTTATCGGACTGTTGGGGCAAGTGCTGCAAAAGTGAGCACCGATGAAGGTCGAAGCAACGCGCATGCGGGTGGGGTGGCCAGCGCCACGCCCGACCGCCTTTTGTCTCCCCCGTGGCAACGTTTACAACACACCGCACCAGGCCGAGTCGACCGAGGGCAGGCCAACGACCGGTCCAGATAATCGCCACCGGTGCTGGCCGCGAGCGGGAATCGAACACGAGTTGCCGGGTTCGTAGCGCAGCGTAGCGCCAACCGCTGCGCCACCACTCCTCTCACCTGCCGGCCTCGCCGTACCTGGCATGTTCATGTGCATCATGAGCGGCTCGCGGGCCTGGTGAGTGATGCGGATGACGCGCGGCCGCGCCTGCTGCTGCTGCTGCTGCTGCCCGGGATCGCCGTGGACGCCGTCCGGGCCCAGCTGGTCCGGGCCCCCCGACGGAGGGACGCTCCCGGCTTGTGCAGCGCCGCCGTTGTTGGTGGCGCCTGTTGGCGATCCGTTGGTGGACATGGTGACCGTGGCGCCGAGGTTGATCTGCGGCACGGAGAGAGAGAGAGAGAGAGGAGGGGAGGCGGAGAGAGAGAGAGAGAGAGGGGCGGCATTGGGGTCAGGTCCTGGGTGGCATAGCGGCGACGGCGACGCTCATACCTGCCACTCATGGCAACGGGGGGGGGGGGGGGGGTCTACGTTAAGATTCCCGACTCTGGCGCCTTTCTCCAAGTGGAGTTTGTGTCCTTGCCCTGTTCTGCAGAGAGTGAGCGAGTGTGCAAGTGAGTGTTGTCAAGTTTGCATATTGCCCCCTTCCTGCGCTCCAGGCCGAGTGTCGGCGAGTGTGAGGAGTCTTTCGGGAGCGGTGGCGCAGCGGTCAGCCGCTGTGGCCCAGAACCAGTTCGGATATTCATCACCGATGTTGGCAGGCGAGCGGGAATCGAACTCGGGTGGCCAGGGTTGGGTAGCAGTGTAGCCCCTCCCTCTCCACCCCAGCCCCTCCCTCTCCACCCCAGCCCCTCCCTCTCCCCCCAGCCCCTCCCTCTCCCCCAGCCCCTCCCTCTCCACCCCAGCCCCTCCCTCTCCCCCCAGCCCCTCCCTCTCCCCCAGCCCCTCCCTCTCCCCCAACCCCTCCCTCTCCCCCCAGCCCCTCCCTCTCCACCCCAGCCCCTCCCCCTCCCCCCAGCCTCTCCACCCCAGCCCCTCCCTCTCCCCCCAGCCCCTCCCTCTCCTCCCAGCCCCTCCCTCTCCCCCAACCCCTCCCTCTCCCCCCAGCCCCTCCCTCTCCACCCCAGCCCCTCCCTCTCCCCACCCCAGCCCCTTCCCTCTCCCCACCCCAGCCCCCTCCCTCTCCACCCCAGCCCCTTCCCCCACCTGTATGGGCAGCGTCTGCTGCAGCACGACGGGCTGAGCGTAGTGGGCGTAGTGGGCGAGGGGTCGTGCCACGTGGAGGTGGCGGGGCGCCGCCGATGCCAGGTTGCAGCGCAAGTCGGACACCGTGACGATGGCGTTGCCCAGGTAGCGCAGCGCCTCGCTCACCAGGCCCAGCACACGCTGGTCCTCCTCGCGCCCCTCCGTCTGCACGCACGGCGTCGGACACAGCAGCGTCGGACACAGCGGCGTTAACCCCTCGCCGACGGCACCCCTCGCTCGCCGACGGCGTTACGACAACGCCGGCGGCAAGGGGTTGCGTTTGTGAGAGCCGCCCCCGTCCTAGATGGCCAGCGTCCGCGTGAGCGTGCCGGCGAGCGTGCGAGCGTACTAGCGTGTGAGCGTGTGAGCCAGCGTACGAGCGTGCGAGTGTACTAGTGCGAGCGTACGTGCGAGTGTACTAGTGTGAGCGTGCGTGCTACCGTACTAGTGTGCGAGCGTGCGTGCCAGTGTCAGATCGAGTGAGCGAGCGTGCCGGCGAGCGTGTGTGCGTGTTAGCGTGTTAGCGTGCGAGCGTGCGAGCGTGCGAGCGTGTTAGTGTACGAGCGTGTTAGTATGCCAGCGTGTTAGCGTGTTAACGTGCGAGCGTGTTAGCGTGCAAGCGTATTAGCGTGTTAGCATGCCAGCGTGTTAGCGTGCGAGCGTGTTAGCGTGCGAGCGTGTTAGCGTGCAAGCGTGTTAGCGTGCGAGCGTGTTAGCGTGCGAGCGTGTTAGCGTGCCAGTGTGCGAGCGTGTTAGTGTGCGAGCGTGTTAGTGTACGAGCGTGTTAGCGTGTGAGGGTGTTAGTGTACGAGCGTCTTAGCGTGCGAGCGTACGTGCTAGCGTGCAAACGTGTTAGCGTGCGTGCGAGCGTACGTACTAGCGTGCGAGCGTGTTAGCGTGCGAAAGTGCCACCGTACTAGCGAGCGTACATTGTTGTTGTAGTCGGCGGTGGCGGCCGTGGCCAGGATCTCCTGGTAGCGCGCCAGGTGGGGCTGCAGCTGCGTCTGCACCGAGTGGATTTCCGACAGCACCTCCAGCAGCTCCGCCGGCGCTGGGTGGCTGGGGATAGGAGGCGCAAGGAGATGTTAGCTCCCTCGCCTGCTATGCAGGGAGGTCGGGGGCTCGATCCCGACCCTGACGACGCCTGCTGTATAATTGGAGTTTGCGTCTCTCTCTCTCTCTCTCTGTGGTCGCGTGGATTATTTCTCCAGTTTTTCCGCACCACATTCAGAGTCTACGTGCGTTTAGGAGTATTTTTGGCTGCTAGAAATTTCCAGATAAGCACACTCTGAAAGAGAGCTGTACAGCTCAGCGAGCCTTGCCTGGTAAAATAAAACATTGTTTAGTGCAGGCACGACGAGGAGGCGACAGTGGACGAACGTCACGCAAAATCAGAAAGCAAAGAAACCAATCCAGGGTGTGTGTGTGTGCGCGTGTACGTTGAATTTCGTACGTAGCCAACCGTGCTCATCAGAGGTGCGGGCGGGGGGGGACAAACTAAAAACAGTAACAAGCAGTTCTGAAGAAATGAGTTTTCAATCTAGGTCAGTGTACTTCACTGCAAGACCGGCGGGCCACTGTCAAACTCCCAATGGTTTCAAATGTGTGGCGACCCTCGCACTGATGAGCTCTCATTGGCAGAATATCGGGAGCGAGCCAGTGCATACGATGGCGACGGAGTGAGCAAGCGAACGAATATTTGAGCGAGCCAGTGCTCACGAGGAGGGTGAACAAGCGAGCGATCGAGTGAGCGAGTTGCGGTTGAGCATATCGATCGGTCATTTGTTGCGGCAGCTCCCTTGGGCTCACCTGACAGCCGCCGGGCCGCCACCATTCGTCGCCTGGCCCTGCTCCTGCCCCTCCGCCGGTGCCGCCCCTCCCTGCGCCGTCTCGACGGCAGCGCCGCCGCCGCCGCCGCCCTCCGGCTCCGCCACAGCCGTGGACTCGGCCTCCACGCCGACGGCGCCCGGCGACGGTGCCGCGGCCTCGCCGGGCGCTGCCGCCGCCACGTCCACCTCCATCTCGGCGTCGCTCGCGGATGAGGCGGCCGCCGCTGCCGCTGCCGCCCCCGTGGCATTCTGGGAAGTGTCGGCGCCATCAGCTCCCACCGCGTTGCTCTATGGGGCCGGTGGGGGGGGGGGGGGATTCGGCAGCGGTTGCCACGGTTAAATCGTGCCGATTTGGCCGCGTTCCTGCCGGGGGTCACGGCGGCCGTTTAAGATGCTGGGTTTAGGGGGCGCCACACGGCGGCTACACCATCGAGCGAGCGAGCGAGCGAGCGATCGTTCGTTGTGGCAACTCCCTGGGCTCACCCGACAGCCGCCCGGCAGCCACCGCTCATCCCCTGGCCCTGCTCCTGCCCCTCGCGAACGTTGGTCGCAAGCGGGTACTGTATCTCGGGGGGACTGCCTGTGCATGGGCGTTCCCGCGATAGTTCGGCAGCTGCGAGCGGAGCGGCACTCACCTCCAGCTGGCCCAACAGGTTGACGATCTCGCGCAGCATCTGCCTAGCAAGCACCAGTCGGAGGCGCGGCTCGCTCTGCTGGCCGGTGGCGACGAGCGCAACATGGAGGAGAAGTGCGGGAGACGGGGGAGGGAGGGGGGCAGGCGAAAGGTGGATGCAGACGTTAGCACGCTCAACCCCACATCGCGACGGGCGTGCCGCCGCCGCCGCGTGGCCTACAACCACGGTCGCCCAACAGAACATTACTGGACGGCATCGGTGAAGAGCTGCGTAAGCTCATGGGATTTCTCCGGGACAAAAAAAAAAAACAAAAATAAAGATTCCCCGATCCCGAACATTCCAAAGCTCGCGCCGCCGGCGGCCCACTCGCTGGACGGCGACAATGACGATGGCAACCGTCGAGGTGTTTTTGCCGTCCGGTGTCGGCGCCGCCTCTCTCTCAGCGCCGGGCTATTATCGTGCCGAGCAAGGCGCTGCTGTGTTACACAGGCACTGTGCGTGCAGTAGTTGCACGCAAGCGGAGGACGGTGCCGTTACTGCCGTTACTGCTGCTGCTGCTGCTGCTGCGACTTCACCAAGCGGCGTTATTCACCAGGGCGAGGCCGCCGGATTCGAAAGACGCACAGAACCTCCGCGGCAAGCGGACGAGCACGCTCTGAGGCAGAGCCGAGAGGCGCCCGAGCCCGGTTGGTAGTTGGATTGGGTCCACACGCACACGGCGCCGGTGGGCGGTGCCGGAAACACTGCCGATCGCGACACACGATGGAACTGGGCAAAAGCGGTCAGCAATGCCACCGTCCGGCGAGACGTTAACCGCCTCGCCTGGTATACAGGAGGTCGTGCGCCTTCGATCATCCCAACCTTTCAACCGAATATTTGGAGTTTTTACGGTCTCTCCCACAACCTCCTGCATATCGGGCGAGGTCGTTAACGTCTCCTAGCCACCGTGCTCACGGGACACCGCCGCAAACTCCAAATATGCAGCAGGCGTCAAGGGGGTTTGGGATCGAACCCGCGGCCCCCTGCGTACCAGAGCGAGGCCGTTCACCTCCTGGCCACAATGATAAAGACGGCAGAGAGATAAAGGCATGCAGACTCCAAATAAACAGCAGCAGCAGCAGCGGGCGTCAAGAGATCGGGATCGAACCCGCGGCCTCCTGCGTCCCAGGCAATAGGTAGTTAACCTCCTGGCCACAATGATAAAGACGGCAGAGAGATAAAGGCATGCAGACTCCAAATAAACAGCAGCAGCAGGCGGGCGTCAAGAGATCGGGATCGAACCCGCGGCCTCCTGCGTCCCAGGCGAGGTAGTTAACCTCCTGGCCACAATGATAAAGACGGCAGAGAGATAAAGGCATGCAGACTCCCAAATAAACAGCAGCAGCAGCGGGCGTCAAGAGATCGGGATCGAACCCACGGCCTCCTGCGTCCCAGGCAATAGGTAGTTAACCTCCTAGCCAACCGTGGCCTAGCTTCTCAGTGGCCGTAGCGGGCGAGGGGGGCGGGGGGGTAAAGACGCGCGTCGCCGTCGTCTCCTCACCTGCACCGGCTGCTGCTCCAGGTTTATCTGCACGTCGACCGACGAACCATCCGGCTGTTGACACACGGCGGAAATTCTCAACGCACGAATACGTCTCACACGCGACGACACGACGCGTCCGGGCGCAGCCTAGGGTCCGAGACACGTGCGGGATTTACACCGAATACATCCGCGGGGGGGGGAGTGCCCCCCGTAAGTGAGAACAGCGGAGAGACGTTTCAACCACCGGTTCCCTTCCACACCGACGACGACGACGAGCAACGGCAAGATTACTTTTGCGGCGACGGGGCCAATCGCGTTACCGTGCCAACGTTCAGCCAACCGAGTGAGCCTCACAGAGCCCCAACTGTTTCATCGGGAGGATGAGAAAGAGGGGGGGGAAGGCGGAAAAGTAGAAGACAGGAGGAGGTGGGAGGAGACAGGAGGTGGGAGGAGACAGGAGGTGGGAGGAGACAGGAGGTGGGAGGAGACAGGAGGTGGGAGGAGACAGGAGGTGGGAGGAGACAGGAGGTGGGAGGAGACAGGAGGTGGGAGGAGACAGGAGGTGGGAGGAGACAGGAGGTGGGAGGAGACAGGAGGTGGGAGGAGACAGGAGGTGGGAGGAGACAGGAGGTGGGAGGAGACAGGAGGTGGGAGGAGACAGGAGGTGGGAGGAGACAGGAGGTGGGAGGAGACAGGAGGTGGGAGGAGACAGGAGGTGGGAGGAGACAGGAGGTGGGAGGAGACAGGAGGTGGGAGGAGACAGGAGGTGGGAGGAGACAGGAGGTGGGAGGAGACAGGAGGTGGGAGGAGACAGGAGGTGGGAGGAGACAGGAGGTGGGAGGAGACAGGAGGTGGGAGGAGACAGGAGGTGGGAGGAGACAGGAGGTGGGAGGAGACAGGAGGTGGGAGGAGACAGGAGGTGGGAGGAGACAGGAGGTGGGAGGAGACAGGAGGTGGGAGGAGACAGGAGGTGGGAGGAGACAGGAGGTGGGAGGAGACAGGAGGTGGGAGGAGACAGGAGGTGGGAGGAGACAGGAGGTGGGAGGAGACAGGAGGTGGGAGGAGACAGGAGGTGGGAGGAGACAGGAGGTGGGAGGAGACAGGAGGTGGGAGGAGACAGGAGGTGGGAGGAGACAGGAGGTGGGAGGAGACAGGAGGTGGGAGGAGACAGGAGGTGGGAGGAGACAGGAGGTGGGAGGAGACAGGAGGTGGGAGGAGACAGGAGGTGGGAGGAGACAGGAGGTGGGAGGAGACAGGAGGTGGGAGGAGACAGGAGGTGGGAGGAGACAGGAGGTGGGAGGAGACAGGAGGTGGGCGGAGACAGGAGGTGGGCGGAGATAGGAGGTGGGAGGAGATAGGAGGTGGGAGGAGATAGGAGGTGGGAGGAGATAGGAGGTGGGAGGAGATAGGAGGTGGGAGCTAGGAGGTGGGAGGAGCTAGGAGGTGGGAGGAGATAGGAGGTGGGAGGAGATAGGAGGTGGGAGGAGATAGGAGGTGGGAGGAGATAGGAGGTGGGAGGAGATAGAAGGTGGGAGGAGATAGGTGGGAGGAGATAGGAGGTGGGAGATAGGAGGTGGGAGGAGCTAGGAGGTGGGAGGAGATAGGAGGTGGGAGGAGATAGGAGGTGGGAGGAGATAGGAGGTGGGAGGAGATAGGTGGGAGGAGATAGGAGGTGGGAGGAGATAGGAGGTGGGAGGAGATAGAAGGTGGGAGGAGATAGGAGGTGGGAGGAGATAGGAGGTGGGAGGAGATAGGAGATGGGAGGAGATAGGAGGTGGGAGGAGATAGGAGGTGGGAGGAGATAGGAGGTGGGAGGAGACAGGAGGTGGGAGGAGACAGGAGGTGGCGGGAGGAGAAGTTGGGGAGGAGGAGAGGAGGGGGGGCAGGAAGAGGGAGGAGGAGGGAGTAAGAGGGGGTAGGGGGGGAGGGGGAAGGAGGTGAGAGGAGGAGGGAGTAAGAGGGGGTAGGAGGAGGGGGGAAGGAGGAGGTGAGAGGAGGGGGGTAGGAGGGGGAAGGAGGAGGTGAGAGGAGGGGGAGAAGGTGGGGAGGAGGAGGAGGGGGGAGTTCGCTGTTGCTACGACACAGAAATCCCTTCCTGAACGAGTCGTGGGTGCAACATTTTTCGTCCTGACATTGGGAGGGCGTGTTTTTGTTGTGCCAATACCGGTTACACGTTGTTTGTTGTTGTTGTTAGGCTACGGATAGGGAAAGCAGAAAAGGCGGGAAGAAAACCCCCACGCACACAAACTCGACACAGAAACGCAACCCCCGAGGTCGGGGGGGGGGGACATCGATTCCAGAATATTTTGGTTATACTGGAGGAATCCGATGAGCTATAAAGTTATTTTTAACAGACGTCAGATATGCAAAGGGGGTTAACCGCCATCCACCGTTGACGAACCGGATGGGGAGAAAAAAAACAAACGTATATAATTATTACTAAGGTCATCGCGAGACCATCTATGGCAGAGGCGGGGAACCTCTTTGTCTGCCAAGGGCCATTTGGATATTTATAAAATCATTCGCGGGCCATGCAAAATTATCAACATAAAAAATGAGCCCCTTTATATTTGGTCAAACGTTGAATTAACTCGCCCATAATGCGACGGGCTGGAACTGCTTCTCTTTTGGCGAGGCGTGGTGGTGGTGATGTTAGCCGGCTATTGACGATGTTGCTGCTACTCGCAACTGCTTTTCCAGGTTTGCTCTCCTAGATCTCTTGAATTTCGAGTCCCGCCTGCGGTTGCCTTGGCAGGGCCAGAGACCCGAATGATTTCGCGGGGCCCTGTACGGCCCCGCGGGCCGGACGCTCCCCACCCCCGGTCTATGGGGAGAATACTCGAGACGACACCCACAGAGAACGGATTTGTAAAAATATCTCCGACGAAGCCAGGGATGGGTTACGGTGAAAGAGTGACACTCGCACTGCCCCGCGCATTGCCGTGGGATACACGGCGGGGGCGTTACGTCGCCAAGGTGATACTCAACGCCGTGGGATGCGCGCGACGAGAGATGCGAGCGCGGTGAACTTCACCGTCGCCCCGCCCGCCCGCCCGCCCGAGCGCCAGCCAAACTTGTAGTTCTCTCTAATGCAAGTCACACGATAAGCGATGCACGCGGGTCACCGGGGTTATCGCCCATGCCGCACCACCCATCGCAAGCCGCCCCACCCCGGAAGCTCATCGTTCTTCACGCAGAGAGAGAGAGGGGGGAACATCTCTGAATTAAGCGACCTCTTGGGCACTCTTCGGCTCTCTCGGTAAAGTCACGTAGATAGAAAACGCAGCCAACAGATGACGACGTTTCGATAGCAGCACAAGCCACCGTCTTCAGGCGAAACAATACAGCGGGCGGACTGCCGAGGCAGGAGGAAATGCAGCGAGAGAGCTACTGCAGCCAGAGCCTATATACATTTGTGGTGGGTACAACCCAATGGTAAGTGGGCGGTGCTAGGGATGGAATTTGCAAGTAAATGCAAGGCTAGCAAACGTCAGCTAATGACATTTACAGAGGGAACAAGGTGAGAGAAGAGAAAAAAAGATATCAAACTCAGCAAAATTTAGGAATGTAATGCAACTCAGAGAGTCGGCCCAAACACAACAGTTAACACTACACCTGGTTCATCAATGTCCTTCCAAACATTGCTAAATTTTGCATCCATCAGCCCGGCTGAAGTCACGTCTCAGTGCGTGCGTGCGCGTGTGCGCGTGTGTGTACGTTGAACTTCGCGCCGACGTCGGGAGGTGCGAATGGGAAGAACAACAAACCGAACAACAGGCAGCCCTAAAGAAAGTTCTTTCAACTTAGTACGTTAGTGTAGAGTCGTTGCGGTGTACAGTAGTGTGTCGTGCACAACACAGTGTGTGGGGTGTGTAGTGCATAGTGTCATATGGTGAACTTCTTTCGCACCGTGCGCAGCCAACTGTGGCCAATCAGAGAACTAAACTGCCTGTTGTTTCGTGTTCTATGTTGCCCTTCCCCCGCAACTCCGATTGGCGAGCCCCGGGGATCTCAGGGATCCACACTCTGGCTCGAGTCGGCTCGGACCTGACCTGACCTGACCTGACCCCAAGTCTCAACCGTGAGTCGGCTCTGACCCCGAGCCACGCCTTTTGGAAGCAACGGCGTGGCTGGAGCTCGAGCCGAGAGGTGGAGCTAGAGCGGCAGTAAGAATAGGGCCACCCCTCCCCCCCACTAACATGGCACACAAGCAAGCGTAACAGCAACGCACGTCCACTGAAACCCCTCACTCACCCCTGTGGAGGTGGTGACCCTGGCGTTCTGGCCCAGGTCGCCGAGCCCCGACAACGCGTGCTGCACCGCGTGCTGCACCACGCGGGAGACACGCCACGCACCGCACCACGGCGTTGGAGTCGGTCAAGCAATCCCGCAGGGCTTTTGGGGGCGGACGACAGTTGTTGTCGTTGTTGTTGTCGTGCATTGTTGTCGTTGTTGTTGTTGTGCATTGTTGTTGTTGTTGTTGTGCGCCGCGTCATTTAGCATTAAGCGGCACGCCGTCCCTCACAGTTACTCTGGCTGTAAACGTGTAAACGTCAACAGCCGAGAATCTCATTCTACTCCGTGCGTATTTACAGGGGGGCTCAAGACTCATTCCCGCCTCCTCCTCTTCCTCCGTGTCAACGCCTCTACACGGCTACTCTCTCTCTCTGTAATGAAGACCGTGCGGTTTAAACTCCGTCGAACTACCGCTAAACATCGGAGGGATTCGCCCTCAACATCGCAGCGGGCTTCAGTTTGACATGGAAACAAATAGAGGCAGAATCTTGACAATCGCAACCCCGAATTTTAATTTCGCCCCACTAACCTACTCATCACCTACCCCACCTCGCCAAACCTCGCCAAACCTCGCCAACCTCTACCCCACATGCAGGGGGGCGAGGGAGGTGACGGAGGGAGGCGAGGAGCCTTGGCAACAGTGAACGCGAGAGTGGAGCGGCGCCCTCCCACGCGTAGCCGGCGCCACCCACCCACCCACCCACCCTCACCTCACCTGTATCTGCTGCACGTCGCCCATGTTGGAGGGCACGTTGAAGGTGCCCATCATCATGTAGCCACCGCTCCCGTTGCGATCGGGGTGAGGCCCCGTTCCGCCCCCGCCCCCGCCCCCGCCCGCACCCCCCGGGCCCCCCCCTGACCCCCCCCCCACCGCCGCCACGCTGGGGGCCCCCAGCGCCGGCAGCAGACGCCGAGGACTGTGCCCCACCGGGCCCCACGGCCGGAGGGCGGGAGGGTGGAGGTGCCCGCTCCACCAGGTGGATCACCTTGCCGTGGACGTCTGCAGGGGGGTGGTGGGGGATGGGGAGAGGGGGGGGGCGGCGAGGGGGGGGGGGGTTACATTGCCAAGGTGATGCAACAAACCTGGCTGGACGCTGTGGGATACGGGTGACGTCACCATCGCCGGAGTGAATGCCGGAAAACCATGGAAGCCTTTGTAGCTCAGGTCTACCAATCAGGTACTCGACGTGGGTCGACCAATCGGGTTTGAGGACGTGGGGGTACCGGTGGAGGCGGGGGGGGGGGGGCGGCACCCGCACAGATCAAAGAGCAGTTCTAAAAGAAATAAAGTTTTCCATCGAGAGGATTTACGAAAACGAAACTAAAACTTTTTATTCCACCAGGCAAGGCCCACCGAGCGATAAAGCTCTCGTTCAGAAACGACCTGGCTGTCACAAATGATAGCTCAACAAAGCGGCCTATCACGTGGAAATGGTACAGCTGCAGCAAAATATTCTCAAGGCACGTCACAATTCTAACTGTGGAGGGAAAAACTGGGGGGGGGGGGGGGAGCTGGAGAAAATCCACGCCACCACGAGTAGAGAGAGGAGAGAGAGAGAGAGACACGTAAACTCCAAATATACAACAGGCGTCGTCGTCAGGGTCGGGATCGAACCCATGAGCTCCTGTATACCAGGCGAGGGCGTTAACATCTCTCAGCCACCCCCGTGCATAGCTCCAGTGGCTTCCCGATATCGGAAGGAGCGCGGCTGAGGGTGGCGACTTGTGGCCAACAGCCAATGGCGTACGGACGCCCGGTGATGGGGGGGGGGGAGGACAACCCACCATACTCCTTCAGCTTCTTGTCATCCTGCAGAACTCTGCCTTGGTAGATGAGCCTCTGTTTGTCGCTGGCAATGGCCACAGACGTCGCGATCCTCTCCTTGAACTCCTTCACCGTGATCTGCGGACGCCGGCGGGGAGGGGATGGCAAGGCAGCTCAGCCGCACGGCAACAGGTTCCCATCCGCGCGGCCGCATTCTATTTATCCATAAGAGAAGGTTTCGTTGGGTTAAATCGCATCATCAAACCCACCACCACCACCACCACCCGACACGCACAATTAGTAAGGTTGTGTAAACGCAAACGTGGCCAGATAGTTACTAGTTCAGCACTAATCAGTGTGCGCGTGTGTGTGTGTGTGTGTTGGAGAGTAAACCAACACTACCAGATTTTGATTTGAAGCTTTCGTGGCTGCACGAATCCACACTCTTTGGTTCTTTCGGCAAAGTCACGTGGGTAGAAATAAAACGAAATAAATCACGACGTTTCGGACGCAACGCAAGCGCCCATCTTCAGGTGAAAATCGCGACAGCCGCGATGTCTGCTGCCTTGTGAAGAGAAGCCGTTACCAGCAAGAGTTTATAGAAGTTTTTGAGAACTTATATAAACTCTTGCCGGCTCTAGCGGCACGGCGTGCGATGTGTTGACATCGCGGGCACCACGTGTATGGGGGTGCGGTACCGGCCCTAGAGGGGCTCGGTGAGCACTGACCGACAGTGCTGGATGGCACCACAACAGTCGTTCATCTTTTTGGGGGGGGGGTTGCATCTTTTCGCAAGGATTTTTTGGGGTTGGTTCGCGTAAATATAAACGTTGTGTCGTGAACCGCCACCGTTTGGCACTGCCGGTGAGTAAGGGCTTTGTGTCACGTAAACAAACGTGGCCAACTAGCGACTAGTTCAGCACCACCGCGTGTGCGATGGAGAGTAAATCCACGATGTTTACAATTTGAGTTCCGTGACGTTTCACGGGACGATTACAACAATACCAACCGGCATTATATTCTTGGTTCTTTCGGTAAAGTCACGTAGAATGGAGATAAAATAATGAAAATAATAACAGAATAAAATTCTCACGACGCTTCGGCCACAACACAAGGAAAGCTACTCTTACTTTTTCCATAAACTAAAGCCAACTAAACTATTTTTTTTTATTTTACCAGGTAAGGCTCAACAAGCTATGTAGCTTTTTTTCAGCAACGACCTGGCCACAAATGACAGCTCAACAAAGTGGCTTATCATGTGGAAATATATAGCAGCAGCCAAATACTCTAAAACGCATGGTGACGTCGATTCAAATGTGGAGGGGAAAAAAAACGGAGGACCCAGGGAAAAAATCCATGCGGCCACGGAGAGACACGCAAACTCCAAATATACAGCGAGGGAAAAAAAGTATTTGATCCCCTGCTGATTTTGTACGTTTGCCCACTGACAAAGAAATGATGAGTCTAATTTTAATGGTAGGTTTATTTGAACAGTGAGAGACAGAATAACAACAACAAAAATCCAGAAAAACGCATGTCAAAAATGTTATAAATTGATTTGCATTTTAATGAGGGAAATAAGTATTTGACCCCCGTCTGCAAAACATGACTTAGTACTTGGTGGCAAAGCCCTTGTTGGCAATCAGAGGTCAGACGTTTCTTGTTGTAGTTGGCCACCAGGTTTGCACACATCTCAGGAGGGATTTTGTCCCACTCCTCTTTGCAGATCTTCTAAAAGTCATTAAGGTTTCGAGGCTGACGTTTTTTTTGGGGGGGGGGTATTTTTTTGCACACAGGAATATTTCTGCTGTTTTTTCATGGATTTTCTGTTTGCACAGTCACAGTCACTTCAAGATGCTGTTCTTGTTCGAATTTTTTGTTTGTTGTGGTTGCACCCGATTCAAGAGCCGAATGGCTCGCAGGGCTATACCAAAATAAATGAACTGAAACTGGATCGTCGCACAATCACCCAGCCCCCACTGGGTTTCCCTGGCCTAACGGCGTTACTTGATGCAGGCCGCTATCGCCGTTGCCGCCTGTTGAGCCGTGGCTGACGCTGTCACCAGGTAAGTAGTGGTAACCGCGTGTAATGCACAATACCCACTACACATTCATGAACATGCGTTTAGACTAAGTGGCAACTGCTATACATTTCCACCTGATGATAAGCCGCTTCACTGAGCTAGGGTTTGTGGCAAGGTCACATCTGAAAGAGAGCCATATAAGCTCAGCGTGCCTTACCTGCTAAAATAAAATTAGTTGAGAGTTTAACACTACTATCCTGGCACGATAAAAAACAACATTCTGTTCTCCTACAATGCGGCGGTTGTTGCGGCTGCGCTGCTGAAGAACACCGTGTTATGGAAAAAAAAATCGCGATATAATAAATAATATAAGGGGGGGGGGGGTAAAGCACAGTCTGCGACAACACCGTGGAGATGCGTTAATGCAGGGCCTTGTGCGACGACGACGACGACGATGCTACGCCGGGGCGGCTGCCGTTACGACGGCTTACTCCTACCCGCAGCGCGACGTAGTTTTTGCGTTCGCTCGATCGCGTCATATCCAATGCAGGAGACATAACACGGGCTGCACAAATACCGAGGGGATGCGTGGTGGACAGCATCCAAGCAGCACACCCTTTGGCTATTTCGGTGACGTCACGTAGGTATGACGTAAAAACAAAATTATACCTGCGCCAGTTTTACCTAAAAAGAACCCAAGGGAGAATGGATTCCCGCAGTCACGAAAGCTCCAAATAAAAATCCAGCAGCATCCCAATGCCTCGTGGCGATGACGCTACGCCGAGCCAGACGCAAGACCAATTTATTCCTACGCCGTAGTTCCGTTTCGCTCGGGACCGCGTCTTGTATCCCATTCACATCCACGTTATTAAAAAAAAAAAGCATGCGTTTCCCCAATTACATTAATCGTGTTGTACATCCACCGTCGCGTTGTGAACACAACAGGCGGCACTGTAGGAGAATGAGACCGCACGTTGTAATATAGGGGAGCGCCTTACCTCCTCGGGCACGGAAAAGGCCCGGGTCTGCGAATCGAGCGTCTTGACCGTCACGTCCAGCATGGCGCCGTCCGGAACGCCTGTCAGACAAGAGACACAGCGCGGCCACGGTCAGAGACGGAGCGTCTGTCAGACAAGAGACACAGCGCGGCCACGGTCAGAGACGGAGCGTCTCTCAGACAAGAGACACAGCACGGCCACGGTCAGAGATGGAGCGTCTCTCAGACAAGAGACACAGCGCGGCCACGGTCAGACGGAGCGTCTCTCAGACAAGAGACACAGCACACGCACGGTCAGAGACGGAGCGTCTGTCAGACACAGAAACACAGCGCACGCACGGTCAGATGGAGCATCTCTCAGACAAGAGACACAGCACACGCACGGTCAGAGACGGAGCGTCTGTCAGACAAGAGACACAGCACACGCACGGTCAGAGACGGAGCGTCTCTCAGACAAGAGACACAGCGCGGCCACGGTCAGACGGAGCGTCTCTCAGACAAGAGACACACGCACGGTCAGAGATGGAGCGTCTGTCAGACAAGAGACAGCGCGGCCACGGTCAGACGGAGCGTGTGTCAGACAAGAGACACAGCACACGCACGGTCAGAGACGGAGCGCCTGTCAGACACAGAAACACAGCACGGCCACGGTCAGACGGAGCGTCTCTCAGACAAGAGACACAGCACACGCACGGTCAGAGACGGAGCGTCTGTCAGACAAGAGACACAGCACACGCACCGTCAGAGACGGAGCGCATGTCAGACAAGACGGACACAGCATGACCGTGCTCAGCCTCCCCGAGCGCCTGTCAGACAGAGAGACACTGCAGCCACCGTTAGCAACGGAGACCCCCCCCCCCCCCCCCAAAGGAACCGGTCAATGTCCCACGCAGACTCCAGTCAATCGGTCGGCAGCCTCGACCACCACAACCCTTGCCACCTCCACTTTGGATGAGCCTGGGACGGTGATCACTCACTGGAGGAGTCCCTCAGCTAGTGGAGGTCAGCAAGCAGCGGTGGCATTGTACAACACGCACCGCTAATATTTTTATTATATATATTCGATATGTTTATTCTACCCACCGCTATGCTTAATTTTTTTTATGAAAAAAACCCGGGAAAATGGGCCGAGTCAGGCAAAGCTAGATACGTCAAATTTTTTTTAACAAAAATTTTTTGTTACAAATTAAAAACCTTTTTTTTTGCGAAAAGCACAGCCTGAAATTTAGGCTCTCACCGGTGCCGGCTCAAGTGCCTCCGACACAGCCAGCACGAAGCTCCTCTCGAACGAGGTCACCCTCGCACCCAGCGCTTGGACTCTAGCTCCTCAACGACGATGGCTCACGGTCAGTCTCGCCGACACGGCCATTATAACTAACTGCCCCACACGCGCCCAGAGGCGATGCACAACTCCAATCCCAACGTTTAAAGCCTAGACCACCTTGGGGATTCGGTCTCGGCATCGGCGACACGGCCATTATGAACCACCGCCGCCGCCGCCGCCACTCCACTCGCCGACACTCAAGGCACGTCCACACACCGCTGTATCATCATTAGCATTCCGTGGCAGCGGCGACGGCTCGTGCGCCAGAAGACGCCAGCGGCACGTGCCACCACGGTCCACCCGAGGCGGCATCGGCGTCGCGCGCAAACAGCGCTGGGGGGGTCTTGCCGACCGCTCAAAGCCCGGATTGAAAACTCACTTCGTGTGTGTGGTGTGTGCGCGCTAGTGAGCTCATTAAGAGAATCGTCAAGTTCAAGGCCCTGGTGCAGAGCAGAGCATGTACATGCGTATGTCTGTATGTAGAACTTCCTTCACGTCATATGTAGCCAACCGTGCCAAAATATGCGGTGCTGGGGAAAAGACAAACTAAACACAAAAAGCGCTCTTCCTTCCGATGCTGGGAAGGCACTGGAGCAATGCACTTTTTAAATAATACAGATTGAAAACGAATTTCTGTCGAACTGCTTGTTGTGGCGTTTAGTTTGTCGTCCTTCCCTCTCCCCTCCCATTGCACCTCCGATCAGCACGGTTTGCTTGGATACGTATGGTGTCAAAGAAGTTTCAATGTACACACACACACACATAGGGTGCACGCCGAACAGAACCCGCACATCTCAAGGCCACTTATCTCCCTGCCTCCCTCCTCCCACCACCACCACCAGCAGCAGCAGCGTAAGATTAAAGGCACCCCCACACAAAAACCCGCTCTGCGAGCGTTACAATGGACCTCAACCCAGCCACCCCGTCACAATTTGTGAGCCTCCCACTCGTTTGCAGGAGGTAAGGGGAAGCCCATCATCCACACAGCAGCACCCCCCAGGAGGAACCATAACAACGTTGACGACTTGCCACTGCTCCCTTTACAACGAGTCTACTGCAGGAGAAGCTCCGTCAACGACCACCTAACGACTAATCACTTAACAACGGGCCTCCATAGAGCAGTGTGTGGTGTACAGTAGTGGTGTACAGTGTAGCGTACAATAATGTAGTGTGAGAATAGGTTTTTTTTCCCTTTTTTTCTGGTAACAAAAACAGCTGTGTTGAGATGTTAAAACACCAAACTGAAACCCTTTACAAGGAATCATGTCTGCATTAACCGCAATACTTGTGGTCAGAATGCAAACAAAAAAACACTGATAATATATTGATTGGCATTGTCTTTGAAACGAATTGGTCCACACCAGCTAAGGCTTTCTTTTGAGCCTAGTCTCAAAAACGGTGTTTGACCAGAGGACACCAAAAGGCGTACTAATAATGTGTAGTGTGTAGCGATGGCAGGCCACCATAGAGCCCAATGTGTTCGCTTACCGATCATTCCCCTGTTAACGACAGACTGCTGTAGGGTACAGTAATATTAATGCATCAATTAGCCGTCTTCCTTTTAATATTACGCGTTTATGTTGTTGGCATCTTCACGTATCCATATCCATTGTTTGAATATTATAAAGTATGTTTTTGGGTGAACAAGGCGTAACTCTCAATCCTATCGGAACGAATTTAGCCTTGAACGTGTACCGAGGGCCGACTCGCCTGACCAATTACCCTCGTTAAGAGGAGGGGGTTCTACTGCATTCCGAAGCACGCCACACGGCAGAGGCAGGAGCAGCAAGCGCCTCATTAAGTGGACACGCAAGGTATGAATCGAGATTGAAAACTAATTTCTTTAGAACTGCTCTTTGTATCTGGTTTGTTGACCTTCCCCCCTGCACCTCCGATGAAGAAGTTCACATAAACATAACTTGACAAGTTGGAAAAACAAAATGTTGAAAATTTTCCATTTAAAGCTTTCGTGACTGCAGGGATTCGTCTTCTTGGTTCTTTCGGTAAAGTCACCACGTAGAAAGGGGGAAAAAAAACCGTAAGATAAAATTCTCACGACGTTTCGGCCACAACACAAGCAGCCGTCCTCAGGTGAAGAAACAGAACTGTCGGAAAGACAGCGCTCCAATGAACACTGCTAAGCTTGGCAGCGCCTTTTAAGCTGGGTGGGAGGAGCAGAGCGCCTTGACAAAGGAGTTTACATATCAACAGAAGAATTTAGTATTGAAGTAGCTGTGTTAATGTGAGAGATTAGCAGGATGTTAAAGTCAGACATTAGCAAGTAACATCATTCTAATCTCCCGGTTACATGCTAATTTCTGACTTTAACAAGCCGACGGAAACTAAAACGAGAAACTATATTAATTTTAACAGGTCAGGCCAACTGAGCAACAGCTCTTTTTCAGAAAAGACTTTGCCACAAATGACAGCTCAACTTAGTGGCTTCTCATCATCACGTGAAAATGCATAGCCCACCAAGCATTCTAAAACGCGTGATGTCGATTCTAAATGTGGAGGGCAAAATCGGAGGACCCGGAGAAAATCTACGCGACCACGGGGAGAGAGAGACACGCAAACTCCAAATATACAGCAGGAGTCTGGGTCGGGATCAAACCCACGACCTCCTGCATACCAGGCAAGGTAGTTAACATCTCACCACAGAGAGACACACGCAAACTCTAAATATTATACAGCAGGTATCGTCAGGATCTGGATCGAACCCACGACCTCCTGTGTACCAGGCAAGGTAGTTAACATATAACAACAGAGAGACACGCAAACTCCAAATATACAGCAGGAGTCTGGGTCGGGATCAAACCCACGACCTCCTGCATACCAGGGCAAGGTAGTTAACATCTCTCCCTGGTGGTGGCAAAGATTTTTCTCCGGGTCTTCCGGTTTTTTCCTCCCGCGTTTAGAATCGACATCGCGCGTTTGGAGTATTTTCGGGTGCTATACACTTCCAGGCGATAAGCCCACTTCGTTTTAACGTGTGGCCAAGTCGCTTTGACCACAAAAGGACTACGTAAGCTCGGTGGCACTCGCACAGCCCTTTTGCCTATCCGCTGCTGGATGAATTCCTCCTCGCGCCGTGCTCCCGATCCCGCCCGTGCGTTTGTTGCTCGGCCATACTTCGCCACGCACAGCCGGCCCATGCGGGTTGCTCGAGGGGTGACGTCGCAAAAGACCGGTTGAGATACCACTTGCCGCGGACATCGGGCGTGCCCGGTAATCGAACTCGGGTGGCCGGGTTCATTCATCGCGCAGCGAACGAACCACCCCAGCTGCTGCACTGCCGTTCCACCCCACTGCTCCCTGTGTAACCATCATCGGCCATGATAAATCCACCGCTAGGTGAAGGCCTTAACACGTCATGTGTGCAGGCCGTCTTTCGCACCATACGTAAACCATTATCACCGGCCATGGTCAATCCACAGCTGGACGAAGGCCTCCCCAAGCCACCATCACCGGCCATGGTCAATCCACTGCTGGTCGAAGGCCTCCCCAAGCCATCGGCTACGATCCATCCACTGCTGGATGAAGGCCTCACTTCCCAAGCCGCCGCCGTAACGATTCGCGTAGTAGCAGCAGCAGCAGCAGCCCTGCCGTACACCACGAGCCGATTCAATCGCTCCATCTCCACGGTTGGACGTGCTGTAGAACACCTCTCGGAACACGGCAAGACGCACGCTTAAGCGATCTCGGCTCCGCATTTTGTCGTCGACTCTGCTCAGCAACAAGCACGCACTGTATCGCTCCGGATGACCGCTGCAAAGTATGATCTTGTGTTTTGATTATAGGTGTGCTGATCTTCAAAGGTGCATTGGAAGTTTTTGATACTCCTACTGTTATGGAGTGACACATGCTGCCAGCTATGGCTGCAAAGTTTGGTCTTACATGTTATGCGTATCGTTCATTGTAAAATTTCATTCACAGTTCCCTATGATCACTGTTACATTGTTTTTGTAGCTTTATTTTGGCGATTCCGAAAACGTTTTGGTTTAGCCATGTTCGTTTGTTGTAGTACAGAGTTAAGACTGATAACTTTAATCTAGATTGTCTTACGGTTGTTGTTATTGTTTGACCTGCATCCCACTGGGAGTTTTGCACACAGCGTTGACACGCGGTGCTTTTTCTGGAAGACTTTGCTGTGTTTTCCTGGATTTTTTTTCTGTTGTGCGTCGTCGCTTTAAGACGTTTTCTTGTTCACGTTTTTGTTTGTTGTGGTTGCACCGGATTCAAAGGCTCACAGGGCTATACCTAATACATGAAACTGAACAGACAAAGACACCCCCACACACCCCGTGTAGCCTGTAAGAGAGACAGTAGGGGGCAAGTGCTGTTAGAACAGCACCTATGAGAGCCGGCACGGCACACGAGGGGGTGGGGGTGGCCGACACCACGCTCGGCCGCCTTTGTCTCCCTCGGGACGATGTTGCGCACCACTCCAGGTACTCATTTGAGTCCGAGTCGACCTAGGGGAGGCCCAGGTGCCAGTTCAGATAGTCGTCGCTGGTGTTGCTGGCCGTGAGCGGGAGTCGCCAGATTCGTAGCGCAACCATCACCACCACCATCATCACCACCAACCATTATCACCACCACCACCAACCATCATCACCAACACCAACAACAACCATCACTATACCACCAACAACCCACACTATACCACCAACAACCCAACAACAACCATCATCACCACCAACAACAAAACAACAACCATCACCGCCACCACCAACCATCACCACCACCACCAACCATCACCACCACCACCAACCATCACCACCACCACCAACCATCACCACCAACAACAACAAAACAACAACCATCACTATACCACCAACAACCCAACAACCACCACCAACCATCACCACCACCACCAGTAACCAAACAACAGCCATCATCACCACAACCATCAACAATAACAAACATCACCACCACAACCATCAACAATAACAAACATCACCACCACCACTACAACAACAACGCCAACAGCCAAACGACAACCAACTTAACGTCACAACAGAGGCCGGCAGGCCTCGGCGCAGCGGACAAGGCCGCGAAATCTCCCGTCACGAACCGCCTCACGCTGTGGCCACAACTCGTTTAAATAAACAATCGACATCATCACCACCACACCACCAAACCGTTAAAACAACAAATCCGTGCGAGTTATCCCACCGCTTAAACTCCGCTTAACACGGCGCAGCGAGCGAGGTAGGCCACCCTCCTGAGGCCTAGCTCAGGCTTTCTCCCTCTGGCGTGAGGCCCACACTC